TACTCCGCTTTTATAGTCGCAGCTCGTTTCCCCCCGACTTCTGACGGCCTGAACATCCCCCTCCCCCCGGCTTTTTCCCTACGTTCTTTCATGTTTCCTGTCCTCAGATCGCAATGCTGGGGTTCCTTCGTACCAGTGAGAGCTTGGGCTCTCACTTGGTGTGTCCTACGTACCGTCGATGTCGATTAACTCCCCTACCTCGCTGTTCTCCACTTCTTATACTTCGGGATCCGACGCGCCGCCAACGATCATCCGGATCACATTTACATCTTCGATATCGGAACGACGACAGCAGCAATCATTCTAGGAATAAAGGCTGGTTCGCTAATAGACATGCTCCACAGCTAGGACGGGGAGCCACGGACATACTGGAACCTGGTCAGGTTGACTTGGGCGATCATGAGATCTCCAATGCACAAGACGACAGAGGGCACGACATTGGGGCTGGTCCCCAGGTCGAAAGTTTTGAGGATGTGAAGCGACATTTCAACGCTATCCTCCGAGATGGCCAACCAGATCAGGTGATGGATGCGATGCTTGATCCTCGCTTTGAGAGCTTGGTTTGCTTGATGCCACCCAGCACCTTTGTCGAAGTCTTTCATCTCCTCTCCCCCGCTTACTTTATCGATCCCTATCGGGAAATCCATCGTCCCATTCATCCGTCAGCTGTCGATGTCAAGCAGTACAAATCACTCGACTCGATTTTCGACGAGTTTGCCAGTAATCTTTCTGCCATCCTGCAGATTAGGTGGGCGGGCGGCCAACCCTTGGGTCTGGCTGAGTACACGCACCTGCTCGATTGCGCACGCTCAATGGGCGATGCTATCATGGCAGACTATATCTGGCAAACAATTAGGGAGGATGGAATGGTGCCGGATTCCCAGTGCTATAACTACTACATGGAGGCGAAAGTTTGGGATAGAGCATACACCGGCTTGGAGAAGTATCGCCTCAGAATGACCCCTTACCTGTATCGGAAGAGGAGATTCTTCGAACCCAACCCCGGATGGCAAGGTTACGGTACGGCTGCCCGGAGTGTGAGAAAAGAAGTGCTGCAGATCTTCAACGAGATGACACAGGAGGGTACCTCGGGGGACACCACCACCTTTGTCAATGTGATCCTTGCGTCAAGTCGAGTTGGCCATATGCAAGGAATCAAGAATGTCCTGCACACCGTCTGGAACATTGACGTCGATGCGCTGCTAGACCAGGTCGACGAGTCGATGCTTCCAGAAGTGACCCCATACGACCGTTCCTCACCGCTGTACCCCACAAACCACCTGCTGTTCGCCGTAGCTCATGCCTTCGGCACCAACAATGACATCCCTGCCGCGCTGCGCACCATAGATTTTATTTCGAACAAATATGACATCCCGGTGCCGGAGAATGTCTGGCTCGAGCTATTTGAGCGATCGTTCGTCTTGTCGCGTCCGAGGTTTGGCCCCGACGCCGGAAGAAATGCGAAGGGCCAGGTTTCATATGACTTCCTCAACTCCATGTTCGAAACAATGACATCCGAGCCTTTCAACGTGCGTCCAACAATCGAGGTGCACCACATCCTCGCCAAAACTGCGTGGGATCGCGCCAGACTGTCGGAATTCCAGCACCATATGGAAGCTGCGTATAATATTCTAAGGGAGACACGAAAGAAGAGAAGAACTGCGAGGTCGATAATAGAGGCATATCTGGGACAGGCACAAACGGAAATCCTCAAATCACGAGCCTTTGCAGATGCTGTGCACGCATATGACATTCTGCGCTTGCGCACTATGCAGCAAACCGTTGTCATGGAGCGTCTTGCAAGACTATTGCTGATTCACCATCGTTGGCTGGGTCGTCGGAACCAAGCGTGGGAACGAACCCTCCTTCCGCAGGCGCTGGAAGAATGGCGAGACTTTTTGCCAGAGTCCGTGGTATACCATACCCGAGGAGGGCTCATCGAATTCGATGGTGCCACCTCTTGGCGCCAGCGTAATATCAGAACCCATGATAGAGTACCAGTCCGGCGGCCAACCCTCGGAACGAACTTTGAGCTTGATGACGACGCAAACGATATAGACGACGACATTTTCTGGGATTGTTATCGACAATCTGCCCCGCATCTTGATCTGTCCATTCCACCCCTGAGGAGGCTTTTCGAAGCTGTCCACGAAGACAATGTCAGTAGCACTTACGACGACGAAGCTTTCCTGGCGGAAGAACTGGGATACGAAACTGGCGAGTATGAGATCCCTAGGGTTACCGCAAAGACGCCCAGACAAGCGCGCTCTACCACTTGGGGACGCCAAACAGTAGAGGAGGACGATCCCATAACCACAGGTCCGGGTCCTCTCTCATGGGCTTGATTCTAGCCCATATCCGAGCCACTTCGCTTTCTCTCACTTTCTTCATCACCATCTTCTTTTTCTTCTTTCCCTCCTTTTCTGTGACTTCGATTGTGACTTTCATCTGCGCATCCTGAAAAGTTAACAATTCGCGGACGCCTTCACTCAACCCTGATTTCTTTCCTTCGCTGTTCTTTTCTTCATGTCCTGAAGCGGGATATATGATGAGCTGATCTTTGGCTGTCAGTTATGACACCTCATGTGTGCATGTATTGCCTTACCTGAGCGGATACCCTGTCTATATGACATGTTACATATTGAGCTCTTTTATGCTTTTCGAATATTATCATTATTCTTTCGATTGTGAGAAGATTGTCTTTCAGTAAGCAGAATAGTAGTCAGTATCAATCTTTCGAGCCATGCTCGGACGGGGTGCATACCTATACAGAAATGGAACTTGACTTCTGAATATAGGTTTCAGACGACGTCAGTCCACCAAGGAAACAATCATAATCATATACATACAATGCGGGTATGTGCTACAAAACGCAGGGCACCTATCCAGTCAGTTCACTGAGCCTATAGCCAGGCTCCTCCTCCACCACCATCATCATCAGATCTTCTCCGCCTTCAAATCATTCACCACCATGTACCGACCAATCGTAATCCAGCCCCACCGGAACCACACCATCTGGCTCTGATGGGCCTTGACCATAGCCGACTGCGCAGTCATCCACTCATTAACGGAACTGACGAACAAAAGCCGCGACGGGAGCTGGCCCTTGGAGCCACTACCACCACGGCCCAGAATGGAATGCAGCGCGCCCCGAACCATCGTAAACGGCGCATCCAAAACACCCGCGTACTTGCGCAGCAGATTCGTCGTGGTAAGCGTATACAGAGTAACCGGACAGGTATATCCCGATTTATCCTTCATCAGGGACCGCAGGAAATGAACAGTACCGTGGTACAGAGACCGGTGGTTAGGGTGGTTGCTGATACCTCCCTTGTCGAAGGTCAAGAGCACGTCGATGGTGGCCGTAGGTGCAGAGCCGGCTTGGTTCGATTTCTTTTTGGAAGAAGAGGTGCTGTCGCTGAGTTCGGGGGCAAAGGCGTGTTCGAGAACAGCTGATACGTCGGACTCGGTCCATTGGACGGTCATGCTGTCGCGGAAGCGGGAGGGGTCGTCGATGATGTATACGTCGGATTCTTGGCGTAGGCCTAGTTGCAGGGCGCTTTTCACGAGCTCCTTTTTGCGGATGTGGCCGAGACCGTCGGCATCTCCTGTTTCGTGTTGCGGGTTGGTGTTAGTGGTGGGTGTATGTTGGGGGTGTTTGTTCGATGGTCTATGTGGGTGCTTACCGCTGCTGAGACAGAGGATCTTGAGGTGGTTGCCGTACTCCGGTCTGGTCAGGGCCAGAACCGTGGGCGCGAAGAACATGGCTTCATCGTCCGGGTGAGCGATCAGGAGACATATCCGCTTGTTGTATAGACGAGGGAATGCACCGCCGAATGGTGAAGACGTGGTTGACGATAGTGTCCAGAAGAGGAACACGGCTAGAATCGCGGAACCGAGAGAGAGTAATGTTGACGGGGACATGGCGTGGGAGTAATCAAAAGGGGCGATTCGGGCGTTGAACTTGAGGAATGAAGGGGAAATAGTCAGGAGTAATTGGTTGGATCGTCGGGAAGTTTGACAAATTGTGGGAGAAGCTAGTAGGAGCTCAAGGGGTGCTTTTTTTCGGGGGATATTCGACGACCGTTCGCCGCTTGCATGAAATAATGCAAGTGATGCTGGGTGTTGTAATCCACCAATTGTTTGGCTATAGAATACAAACTGTGTTGGTTTACTCGAATTGGGACATCTTTAGGGGAGAGTGACCCCGATGGGTTGAATGGTGAGGATTAGAAAAAGGGATAAACAGTTGATTCGTCTCAGGGTCCTGGGTTGACGATCTCTAGAGCTCCATGTCTCCCGGACGCGGAGCTATCACCACGTGACTTACGGATTGAGTACATCGGAAGATAGTTCCAATTGCATTTCTAATTGTAGGAGATTAGTGTGATAAATCTTCCGAACTGTGGAATTTATTGGTTTATCAGATGCTATGTAGCTTAGGTTATGTAATTGGCCTCGAATTTCCAAGTACTAGTACGTTGGCTAGAAAATGAACATAATCCTGAGAATATATCTTAGTATCATGAGGTCTACTCTGTTACTGTAAGTTATATATATTACTGGTAATAGTAACTTGACGTTGATAACATGTACTCCAGCATTCCTCACAATTGGTACTGAAACAATACTACAGACTGTACTTAGTAGCATCAGAAGAGCATCTAAAGCTTCACCATGTTTCTGTTTACAAATGCACGGAGGAGCTCCTCCAAAGCAAGTTTGATGAATGCAGCTAGCATTGCGCGTTCCATTACCAGCATTGCGTTCCGACGCCAATGACATCAGAAGTACCAAGTGCCTAGGGTCAATCATAAGCTGGCTCAAATGTCAACATTAGTAATATTGATTATGCTTATTACTGACTTCAAGCATATCCATTTTCAGCAACAGCATACGTATCTCTCAACATCTCAGCTGTCACCTTCCTGATCCGTTTCACACGAATTAGTAAGCTCTATGCGCGGAATAGGAGGTTATGGTCCCCACCAATCACATGAATGTCACAGAGCACTTGCATGGCAGGTCTCTCCGCTGACCCAGCCAACCTTCTAAAGTAAGTACTAGGATAAGGCTATCACCATTTATCCTTTCGCTCCTAGCCTGGACTGCTTACAAATTCCATGTCGATATACAAATCAAGGAACTACTAGAAGTATTTTTAGGGTGGTATTTGGAAGAGACATTGTCTCGGCTGGACGGCATCCAGAGACTGACTGTATCGAGCAAAGTACGGAGACCCCGCGGTTCTCCGGTCCCAAAGGACGACCAGTCTAATTAGTAGTACCAGGTACAGCCAATAATGAGGAATGACACTATAATCAATATATTGATCGAGGAGTCTAGTGATTCCTTGTCGGTTTCTAGTGTTCCTTTCGCGGATAGAGTCGGCGGTAGCAGGGGCCAGATTAAATAGAGACGTCATCACATGGCCATGATTCAGCTCTCCTTTTCCTGGTCGTCCATCAATGAGTAGCTGGGTCTAGATTCAGTGACTATATTCGCTAGAGATCGGTAGTATGCAGGACGGTCAATGACAGACCGCAAAATAACCCATGTTTGAACGTAGGGGTCTCGAGAGCAGAGTCAGTATACAGTTCTCTCTACCAGTGGCTTCTAGAACTTCCTAGGTTAGATTGCACTAGCACGTGGGACAAGCAACACTGCTTAATTTGGCAGAAACACACGTCCTGTGCAGTTCGGCCGGAGTGATTTCCAAACAGAAGGTTTTGGCTACGAAGGTTCGTGCAAAATCCTATCATCTAAGTTCTCGGGTGCTGATAGCCGGTATTGTAGGGCTGAGAACCCGCGGACACACTCACTGCCAGAGTCGTTCACATGGCAATTGCTGCGCAGCATGCCGCGGGCAGCAACTATGAACTAGAAATCCATCGTCGAAAACAGCCATAAATATACTGCAGAGCATAGATTTTGCGACGCAATCATGTCCAAACGACCAGTCTGAGACCATGGCGGGATCAATGTGCCGAACTTGAACCCCGCGGGGTTCAAGAGCTCGAGAGTCTATTTGGTCGTAAGGTTATAAGAAACCATGAATATGCCATGGAACGTAAACACAGACGTCGTGGCAATTCTCAGTCGGTCTAGGCAAATAGAACAAGTAAATTGAGCGACGATATCCGAGACCATCGGGCCACCCTTAGTCATGGAATGTAACTATTATTTTGTGTAGGAATGGCGGTAAAAAGTGGATAGCATCAACCTGAGCGGACGGCAGGTACGGCGTTAACCAAAGGCTGCAAGTGGTGTACCCACGGACCGATCTGACTTCCGTCGAGGACCTTACCAGGCAAGGGAATTGGGGGACAACGGCAGTCGCCGAAGTCCTGGGACCAGAATGGTGTAATTCCCGCTAAATCCTCATTTAGTGAGTGATTTAGCTCGTCCAGAAACCTTGGAGGAGAAAGGAGAGAAAATTCTGAGGCGCTAGTGGCATAGTGAAGAGTCATCGCATGGAGTCCGCCAAAGCTAACCATGAAAAGAGAGCCGGGCCGGTGGACAAGCCCCGTTCGAGAAAAACGGGGGTGGTGCGGCGTACCGCTAGTCCGCTACATGCCCTCATCCACCTTTGGGAGGGGTTTCCGCGGAAAGACCCAATGGAAAGGGCGCAACGGTAAACATGGCCTTGCACCTTGCAAGAAAACGCTATAGTATTCGTAGTTGGCATCATTAATATGACCATTCACTGCTACTACTACCTGTTTTGCAGCTGCATGGAATGGGTCCAAGCTTCTGCACATCCAAGCTGGGAGGGGTTTCATGAAGCCGTCACGGCACTAGTCCAGAAGATGGCGGTTAATAACGCAACCGCCGTGTGTGCTCAGGCAGGAGTAGTAGAAATCCCTCATCTAGACATCTCCTGCTGAGTGAAACTAGGCGATTGGCAAAAAGGAACCAAGCACTTACGGGGAATGTGGTCATATTCTGTCGGAGTTGGTTTGTTATCGATCGCCATATAGCAAAGAGATTCGTATTATAGAGCAAAGACTAGTCTGGATGGTGAGTTTCATGCAATTGGGGAATCATATCGGGAGTAGGAGTATTCAATGAGTGAAGGAAGGTCACCGGATGCAATCTTCACGGTCTGATCATCAGTGTATTGCGCAATGGACCAAGATCTAGTGCATGCACCTGCGTCGGCCCTTCCCCAAGATTAACTTGATGTAGAAGAATTTAGGAGCATCAGCTGGAGGCGACCCTTGCCAATTCAGATAATAGCCTGATACAGTCAGTGTCAATTCTCTAACACCCCCATATATGATAGGCCAGCGATCATATAACATGAGCCGACCAGTACTGTGTAGATGAGGCTTGGCGGGTAACACTGAGGCTAAAATCCTGTATAGTAACATCCGAACTCGTGGCGTGATCGAATCGGCCATCCGTGGCCGTCAGCGACAAAGATGTGCCGAAACTCTCAGTAAACCGGGACGGTCAAGCCGACAACTGGAGGACCATCAGGGTGTAAAGTCGGCCAAGGTACCTGAATCGTCAGAGGTCAGACCGATCATTTCACATTGCGCATGCTGTCGTCCTGGCAGCTCAATGGGTGGTGGTGAAACTGTTAGGTAATGGGTATGGCGGCGATGGGTAGCCATTCGTCAGAACGTCAGAACTGTCCCTGGCCAAGTCACAACGCACGTTGCTTTAGTCTAGAACTTCCAACATTAGTACAGTGAATATCATATGTTACTACATATTACTTTTGGATGTTATTTCCCAATTCAATTGTTTCCTCACGCAACCCTCATGCTATACTACGAGGCTAACCACCACTTTCATCTACACCGACCGACCGGCAACTGCAGCCGGATGATGTGATGCCCCGCATAGAACGGAATTTTCAGCAGTGCGGGGAAAAAGGCGAACCTATCGCCTTGCAGCGAGCAACAACGGAATCTTCCTCCTGAGTGAAGGGGTCCCTGTTAGCGCCGTCAAAACCATCGTGAGACTTGGCCAGGAATGGCAATAACGAGGAGAGCCTGCAGCCAGCTTCGTCATTTAGGTCCTCAGTGCCTGAGCCCGAGCCCTTGACAAGCCACTCAACCAAGTCTCATCGGAACAGGGTACCGCTGTACCGCGCGGGTGGAAAAGAAAAAAAAAGCACATGTCTTAATCAAGGTTTTTATTTTCTCCTCGGATTTGCCCTTGACATATTAGTCTCTTTTTTTTCTCCCTTTGGCCTTGTCGGGATGTGGAACCTGGCCAAGCTGTAACATCAAGAGTTAAGAGGCGCCGCAATGGAATAAAATCTCTGCAAAGAATTTTTTTGGATTATTTCCCAAAAGGTTCCCATTCCGTACGCAAAACATCTGGTTCTGATGGGGCTAGCGTCTTCCTCCGTCCGCGGATTCAGCGCCTCGTTGGCTCAAAAAGTGCAAGCGGCATCACGGATCCAGAGGATCTCCAATTAGTGTCGCAACGTGTTGCGGTATGGTAATGTATACCCGCGTCACGGTGCCGGTCACCGCTCGTACGCGCAAAACTTGCGCCAGACCGCCTTGCAACTGTTCAGAATTTCGGGCTCTCTCTGCCACTATATGACGCCACGTGATGGTTTGATGACGGCAGCTGACCTTCCTGAACGAGCAAAGAAAGCGCCCTTTTTGTCAGGTGTCGTTACGGGCTCAGGTCCCGGCTGCCGTCTTGGACGGATATTCGGTGCCGGAAACACTATGATGACTGACTGACTTGTCATGCTTCTTTGTCTTCCATCTCTCCATTGCTCATCAAGGCACCACATCAAGAATTGGCTCTCTACTAATGCTGTTAATAGAGTACGTACTATGGTTGTCGTGGCAGGCCCTGGGCCCCCAACTATACAACGGCCCAATCAAATTGTGGCCTGACCTGGAGGGGAATACTGTCTAGAACCTTAGTCAGCCCCATCATCCTTGGTTCGGATCTCCAACAAAAGGGCATGACAACATCACTGAGCAATTTGGCATGATCTCGAAGCCCGATCATTAGGGCCACGAGTTCATTCTGAATAATCACTAGTAGGTATTGCGTCAAATCAACACCGCCTCTCTACGAATACGCGCCTGGGTCACGCAAACATTCGCGAGCGAACGATCGACAGCCAGGGGAGGGACTACGTTCCGGACCCAGGGACAGCCAGACTAAGTCCAGTTTCTATGGGGTAGGAGTGAGTCACTGCGCACGGCCTCGACGGAGGGACATCGGAGAGCTAATCATCATGCTTTGTGGCTAGCGAAGTGTTCAAGTGATGCAGCATGTTTAGATTAAATACGATTTTGTTGCAGCTTCGCAAAAACACACTTCATGCAGGTAGTAGCACGTCTTAGAAGCAGACTGCATGAGCCCGGACAGTATCACATGCGTTGAATTGCGAAGAGGAACGAATCAACCTGTAAGTAAGGCGTATATGTTGCGCTGGTGTCGAAACAAATACCAGCATCCGTAGGATTTAGCCGAGGACAAGACTGTCTGACGCCTTGATATTGCCATACATTGATTATTCAGAATCACAGATCCGGGGTTGGGGTCAGACTGCGGATAGATGACATTGACATGAGACTGTGAATGACCAGCCCCAAGTTGCGATAGGCTGACGAGTCCTTGAAAATTCTAGAATTGAGTCGATGGCATCTATTGTGAAGTCCACCGTGGGGACACATTAACCACTGATGATGAGTCCCCAGATCTAGAATGTCCCATTCATTGAATGTAATTCTCCCATACAACAAGTATTCATCTAGATCACGCAAGTTCCTGTGTAAGCTACACATCGATGACAATGGTTGAGGGAGCCTGTGAGCCTGTCAAACCATTCTGGTGCATGGCTCACGCGTTTCTCCTCGGGGAAATCCTTCCGCCCAGCAGCACAACAGGGACCGAGTGTGCTTCTACTTTCTCAGGCGCAGGCGCTTTCCGCCGGAGACAGCCGTTTTGTCACGTACGGAAAGCGTAATGTAAGGCCCACGATGACGCTTTTTCTGCCGGGCCCCACTCAACCTCCATCGTCCGCCCGATGAGATGGAGCCCTGAAGGTGGCCAGACCAGGGAATGAATGGCACCTGTTACATGCGGTGGGAACGTCCTAGAAGAAACCATACTAAAAAAAGGGCGAATTTGGAAAGTAAAAATCTCAGGAGTGGAAAATTCGATTTTGAGGTAGTCCTCCTTTTTTTTTCTCTCTTGGGGAAATATATCTGGTATTAAAAAAAATAAAAAAGCTTGTTGCGTTCATTCAAAGGCAGCTGCTCTCCCACTTTTATTCTTCCCTTCTTGATTCTTCTGGTTCTGTCACACCCAATTCATCTCATCTTCTCTTCACCATCCCATAGCATCTGAACCCAAGTGGTGATTTCAACTATACCACACTACCCATTGTATCCTCCGTACCGGTGCTTGGATACTCCCATCATCTTGACAGCAACATCTAGAAGAACGTCAACGATACCACCACACGTCAACTGGATTATGTACTTGGTCGTCTACCACACATCGCAACTCTACCAATATCGAAGCACTTCCTAAACAATCACTTCCTAAGTTATTGTTCAACAGCGTCTACATATTCAAGCTCTAGTCTTCGAACTATCTCTATCCCATCCACAGCAACCACCAACCGGAACATTTCCTCCACAGCTCAAGTAGGGCCTAGAAAGCCGGCTCTCACACGTTCTCATATTCTTTTGCCCGGCACGGTTGTCACAAACTCAAAGTGTTAGCCACTTGAACTTTTGACACCATGCCTGGCCGTCTTCTCTCCAGCTTTGTTCGCCCTTCCCTCTCTCACCACCACCACTCCTCTCACCATTCTTCCGTCTCCCACTCCAACTCCTCGTCCTCGTCGTCTGTGAATGAGATCCCACCGAACACAGTGGTCTCCAAGAAGCCGTCCACGCATGGTGCGGAAAGAGCCCGTTCACCCGAGCGTCGTCTGTCTTTCGCCGTCGAACACCTTATCCACCCCCACCGTGACCACAGCAAGGACAAGCGACGCAGCCATGGCCGGTCCTCCCGTTCCAAGGAGCGCGCCGGACAAGAGGAGATTGCCAGTGCTCATGCTAAACTAGACGTCATTGTCGAATCCCCGCCGCTTGTGTGCTACGGATCCCCTGCGAACTCCACTGGTGCGCTGTTCTCGGGGCGCCTGAAGCTCAGCATCTCCGAGCTGGCTGGCATGGTCACCCTGGACACTTTCGATATGCGCCTGATGAGCAGATTGACAACGAAGAAGCCTGTTTCCAGAGATTGCGCCAACTGCGCATCGCGCACGGAGGAACTGACTCACTGGAACTTCCTGACTGAGCCTCTTCATCTCAAGAATGGTGACCATGAATTCCCCTTCAGCTACCTATTCCCCGGTCATCTGCCCGCTTCCTGCAACGGTTCGCTCGGTCAAGTCGAGTATTTCCTTTCTGCGCGTGCCCACAACGTCAACGGCGAGGAATATACCTACGAGATGCCCGTGCACATCAAGCGTGCCATCCTTCCCGGAAACGACAAGTCCTCAATCCGCATCTTCCCCCCTACCAACCTCACCGGCCGCATCGTTCTTCCCTCTGTTGTGCACCCGATTGGCACCTTCCCCGTTCAAATGACCCTGAGCGGAATCGTGGACAAGAAGGAGGACACACAGACTCGGTGGCGCCTGCGTAAGATGATGTGGCGGATCGAAGAACATCAAAAGATCGTGTCCACCGCTTGCACCAAGCATGCGCACAAGATCGGGGGCGAGGGCAAGGGAGTCCTCCACCAAGAGACGCGCATCATCGGCCACAACGAAGAGAAAGAAGGCTGGAAGACTGACTTTGACACCGCTGGTGGCGAAATCAGCATGCAGTTCGAGGCGAACATCAACCCTTCTTGCAACCCTGTCTGCGATCTCGAAACCCCTGGTGGCTTGGAGGCGAGACACAACCTTGTCATTGAATTGATCGTGGCTGAGGAGTTCTGCCCGAACCGGAACCCCAAGCTCATCACTCCCACCGGGGCGGCGCGCGTGTTGCGCATGCAATTCCACCTTCATGTCACGGAGCGTAGTGGTCTCGGCATCAGCTGGGATGAAGAGATGCCGCCGGTGTACGAAGATGTGCCAGCCAGCCCGCCTGGATACACCATGCTCGATGGTGACAGCATCATGGAGGACTACCACGGATCCCCCATTCACCTGCCCGAGTATGAGCATTTGGAGCGCATGGACTCCCTTCGACTGGACAGTGACTCTACTCACTCTTCAATCCGGGGTCGCTCTCGCCTGACAACCGATGACTTGACTGCGGAACCGACGGTACCTGCAGCCAGCAACCGAGCGCCGTCTGTCGATTCCCAAAGCTCAAGACGCACATAACACCTTTTAACTTCACCGTTGACTTTCCTTCATCTATTTTCTTTTCTTTTTTCAACAAATCTGGACTCGACAGATGTCCATACCAAGCTACGCCGCTTACGACGTTACGATTTTTAACGAATTGGACGATTAATAAATCCTAAAGATTCGAATTCATCTCAGTTGCTCTCAACAGTCACTCTCAACAAATTGGCTTGCCATGTCCTAATGAACTCTCTAATACCAATGGCATGGAATCAAACAAAAAAAAAGGGGGGGAATATCGGAGAAAAAAAGTTTGTCTTTACTAGAATTTTCATTGTCTTATCACGGAGTGGGGAATTTTCACAGTCTGCATGATACCCATAGTTGCTACAAATATGTCACAAACCTGGCTATTTCTTCTGTTCTGCACCAACCACCTTTTGTTGTTGTCCTCAAAAAGATAAGAGTGTCAAGATCGCTACCAATATACCTGATTAATAGAACTAAAAGAAAAACGATAATTTTTTCCTGAAATGAAGCCTCCATCCTAAACTAACTACCGTAACAAATGAAGAACAATTGATCGCCCTTTAGTAACCCCATAGTGACAAATCCTCCCCCAAGCCAAGCCAGGTACAGTAAAGCCCCGTGTGACAACAATCCGGGTAGGTACAGCTTTGATTCCCCAATTCACATCAATAAATGTCCTCACCAGTCAACCATACCCTTGCTTACTTATTTCTTATATTCCTGTTACTCCGTAGGTACCTTGATCTGAACTGGTCCAGCCAGTCGGTCCAGCCAGTTCTTTTTCAATCTATTCCTTCTCTCTCATCTTCGTAAAATGTGTGTGTATGTGCGTGAGACCGTCACACCAACATCAACATCTTCTGCACCCTTCCACCCACTATTCAATAATCAGGTTACAATCTCATGCACGTACCCAGATTTATTACTACCCCCATCTCTACGTTCTTCCCAGTAGGTAAGTAGTAAATATTCGCTCGTGCTACACAAGCTACTACCCTGCCCTGTCTCGGCCCTTTTTGCTCTCTCTTTCTCTCTCTCTCTATTAAAATCGCTCTCCCCCCCCCTGCAGATCGGATCGGTAATCTGCATGTCGTAGTGTATGTAGTAGTACTTTGTTACTTTTTTGTTGGGTTGGATGGTTCTAGTTGGTGGTAGTTGGGGATTGGATTGAATGACTAGTGGTTTGGTTTGGTTTATTTCAAAGTATTTAGTGGGATGGGGGTCCCCCTTGGATGCTACGGATGCTACGCTTACTTGCTACCTTGTTGGTGAAGATAATTTTGCTTCGTTGTGTGTGTGTGTATGTGTGTGTACACCTCTTCCCTTATGTTTCAGTTCACTCATTCATCACTATTTGAGTGTAGTATGTGCACTTTGAACAATATCGATATTCATTCACCACCTTCGCTTTCCCGCTCTTTCTTGCCGTATTCGCCTCGCCTTGCCCTTGCCCCCCTTTTTCGACCATATGTGAAACGCCATCACTCAAAGAATAAATACCATGTGTCTGCCGCGTGAACTCCTTGATAACCTTTTGCTCCTTTGGACTCCCGTTCGCATCTTTCTTCAACTTCGTCTTTCACATTTCCTTGAACTCCAATAATAACCCCGGGGATATCTTCATCAAACAATAAAAAAGATATCACATAACCATGAACATGAAATAAAGACAACAAAAAAAGAACAATTACATAGATGGAGGAAGATATGCACATCATGAATCGAAAATGGGTCCATATGCATGGATCCCGTGAGATTCCAGTTCGTATACCACTTTCTTCGTGACGAACGGATTGCTGATCACGCAGACAGCCTCGGCGTCGAAATCCCGAACCATCTGTCGAATAATCGGGACCATGTCGATTCGTCCTGCCTGGTTGGTGTCGATGATCACCGGGTTCGTGTCCATCTCGGACACCAGGTTCAGGATGTCCTGACCGTACGTCTTGAGCGGTGCACGCGTCTGCCAGAGCACTCGGAGTTCTGGCCGGTTCGCATCCCCCAGGAAGGAAAGACACGGGCCGATTCCGGATCCTGTCGTTACAACCACCACGCGCTTGAAGACCCGCATCGCGTATGCGAAGCCGTTAATCAAGACCCCTCGCTTCCAGAGGTGAGTGGGTGGGTCTTGGATGCAGGCTGTTGTCCAGTCCCCGGCTTTGGACACCAACGCAGAGAAGCTTTTACCTTCTGGGTCCGGGAACGTGGCAAAGCCATGCCAGTCTTGCAGTGGGTGTCGGGATAATTGGATGCCCTTGCCGAAGTTCGTCGTGGTATGCGTGAAGTGGAGACGCACCGCATGCGAGGAGAGGTGTTCGGCCCGGACGGGGACTTTGCGGAGAAGAAGCCAGGGATGGATGATTGCCACGACCGTGACCATCAAGAACCAGAACGCAGGGAGAGTGACGAGGAACCGACCCAGAGACTCGTGGTACGCCTCTTTGGCCTGGTCAGCGAAGATCATGAGCAATATCACAAAGAGTGCCACGACGAGCCATCCGGAGAACCGGTGCGTCAGCTCGAAGTAGTCGTGCCTCTTGAAGCGGAACTTCGGGTGGGCCACAACGATGATTGCCAGTAGCAGGACAAGAATAACGTATGCTAAGACAACGGGCGCAAGGGATAGAACCGACGCTCCGGTCCAGTACTCCCGAGACATCACGCCCACGAAGCCCACATACCAAACGAAAGCGGCTACGCCACATCCGCTGTGCACGCCGCCATAATGATACGCCTTTGCGGCCAGCAGACGCAACCATTTCGGGGCTGATCTTGGTATAGAGCAGACGGAAATGAAGATGGAGTTGACTACCAACGGCTGTCGTGCCAAACCACATGCCATCAGGTTGCCGGCGGTGGCGTTGACCAGGGCTAACAGAGTCCGGTCCGTGACCATGATGGCCACGAACACGGCAACATTGGCAAGGAAGACCAAGGTGAAGAGACGACGGTAGATGTTGAGCAAGGCATACCGGATCCGAGATAGCTTCTTCACCTTGTGCTCTTGGGCTTCAAGGTCCCAGGGGTTGTTGCCTGCATGATTGTGTGAGGCCTCCACCTTCTCTGAGAGCTCATTGACTATAGTCTGGTCTGTCAATGTTGCTTCGCCTGGGCTCGGTGGGCCTGATGCACATTTGGCCGGCTGTGGTACCGACACAACGGTCTGTACTGGTGAGGATGACATGCTGACTCGGGATATTCCAAATCCGAGGACGTGAGGGAGGAGGAGGGTGGGTGAGAGACAAGAAGCAGACACCCAAGAGAGGTTATCCCAACCAAGATAGGTGGGAGGAGGAGGGATGCGAGTGGCAAGGGTTGGTGTGAGGATCAGGTACAGACCGACGCAAAAGGGAAACAAGAGCAATTGCAAAAATTGGCTATACCCTAGGTAAGATCATGGCCCAACGAATGATTTGAGAGAGATGAGGTGAGGGGGTGAAGAGAGAGGACCTGACAGGCGTTCACAGTTCACCTCCGAATTGGCATTGCCGTGAGCCAACTGCGGTGAATGGGCACCTGCGTCTTTTGAATCTTTGTGGATGACGACATCTCATAACGATGCAGAAGAAGTATATTTCCCGAAGCGTGGACCTACATCGAACACCGGAGTTATCTTGGGGCTATTGTGTCTAGTCCATGTTCCCAGCAGCTGGACGCATACCGCATGCGGCATACTGTCGGCCCGTTTTCCCTCTACAGAATCCTTTTCTTATTTTTTTCTTTATTTTGTTATTTTTTAATTTTCATTTATTTTTTTTTTCTCTTCATTTTTATTTTTTTGATACTTCACTTTGCCGAGCCAGGTTTTTCAGGATTTATCCACCAGACCTGAGACCTGATACTATTGCACGGGATGGGATCCCACCCTAAATTGGTGGATTGGAGGCTGACTGCCAATGAGCAGTGAAAGATGGCATGGTGCCATTAGAGATTCAGCTCTGCATTCCCCGAATCGAGAAAGAGAAGGCCCAATGGATGGTCCCCGAAGGAGGGGGAAGTGAACCGTGCCGCCTCAGATCCATGGCTGATGAATCTAGTGACGGTGATAACTAGATAGAAGGGTCTAGGGATTAGCATGATCCGGCACGACAAGTCCGAGTGGCTCCTGCAGGAGGGTCAGGGTTTCCCTGCCTGACGCTAGCAGGTGAAGACACTCGTGTGAGACGCAATGATGCTCGCCACGGGGGAGGATCGTATTCCCCATCGCTGCACCGCCCGATGGGGGTGTAAAGGTGGAGGGATGAGGCAATGGGAAAATCGATAATCGGATTATCGGAGCACGGGACACAGGATGGTTGTTGAGAGGCAAGTTAGTGAAAGAGTTGACTTGACAAGGCCCCGGCGGCAATATCCACCCACGATCCATGCAGGACGCACAGATTCCTTGCTTTTTTCCTCTTTGGGAGAATCAACTAAATAAGAGTCTAAGTATCGGTGGCAGACGCAGATTGCAGATGGAGCCCTGCCATGTCGCTGGGAAAGACTAGTGTGTCCCGAGGTGCTGGCCAGGCGGCCCGGTAATGGAGTCGAGGGAAGAGTGCATATGCGCCTGATAGAGCGATAGACACCCACAGAGAGGGAAAGAAAGAAAGAAAGAGACAAGTGATCAGAGAGTTACCCACACCGTACCACCAGCCAGGTTTCCATTAGCGGGCGGGGTACATTTCAGCGGTGCCAGGCGCGTCTTGCAGGAAAAGACGTACACTTTGGCTGCCAAAGTGATTAGCAAGACGTCAGCCTAGCATGGGTCAGGCGAGGTGGATACCAAACAGGCAGGCATGATTGCACGATGGGGGGGGAGGGTGGGTGGAAGGGTGGAAGTCGAGATTGAATTGGAAGCTGAATACTAAAGCCCCCAAATCCAGCAGGCTGGGGCGTCAACCATGGGTGAACGCTAGTTCGGTTCCCAAGGCGGGAGATCTAACCGGTGGGTTCAGCTGCACGAGGACATGAACTAGATACTATGAACCGCTCCGCCGATTCCTGAAGAGTGAAAGTGGCAAGAGAAAAAGAGGGGAAATGAATGGATGGAACTGAATTGGAGGCTATACTAAATGGGGGAAGCAAAGAACGATACCAGCTTGGGACTAAAGGGAGATGCACGATCGAGAGGCTCGATGACAGGGGAGGGTGGGAGCCATCAGATCCAATGGGAAAACAGGATGAGGAAGATTGAGTCAAGAACCGTGGTGTTCGGGCTGAAGAGATGCCCAATAATGGATTAAGTTAAGGTATGGGGAAGAGAAACAGAGAAAGGGAAAAAAAAAAAATGAGTGGAAGAGGAAAAGATGGGATGAGAAGGGAAGTTACGAAGATCATGGATTGTGGAGAATAACTTTTATTTTTTTATTTTTATTCTAAATATTTTATTCTTTCTTTGTTTGTTTTTCATATTGTTATTTGCTTTGGAGTTTTTTTATTTTCTGTTTTTATTTTATGTCTTGGGGTGTTTTTGCTTTTTTCCGCTTTATAATCATTTTTTATTTCCTAATTCTTATTTCTTTTTGATATTTTGAATTTCCTGAATTGCCGCCTAGGAAATAGAGGTGAGTTCGTCTGCATGACGGGAGCTGTTCGCTCTGGTCAAGTTGCGACCCACTTCGGGATGCGATCTGAAGGACGAAACCGCGATGGGATTAGTGGATGCTGCAATCGGCGGCTGTCATTCGATGTCTTGGGAGGAAGACGTGGGTCGGAGTGGGATCCGCGCCCCGATCTTAGAGTGAGTCTCTCTCAGGATGCGATGGAATTCCAAATTCCAAATCATGGCATTTGTTCGAAAGGGTAAGTGATGGGGGTCCAAACTGGAAAAAATAACTGGAATTAATCTGGAATTCCCTTGTCATTCCCACATCCACTCACACCTTCCCCCCTCTCTCACTGGCACACACACTCTTTGCTCTAGCTCATGCTCTACTAGCTTGCTGTCGCTCTTTCTCTCTCTCACTTTCGCCGCAGGATTAGTTGTCGGTTTCATGAGCTGGTCCTTTTTATTTTCTACCCTTGAAACTTCCCATCATGAATGGAGATATATTTATCGCCCCAGAATTCCCCTTTGCTGGTTCGGGGAAATAATTCTTTCTGATCTTTTATGATCATTCCTCATCCAGGCTCCGACATTTGTCTACCATTACTACTACCACTTACTGCTCCCATCTGGTCCCGTCACCTTCACACTGGAAACGGGGCATGTGTGATTTGATTGATTCACATTGGACTGGACTCAACTGGACTTGATTCAACTCTGACAACACTAACTCCACGGGACTGAATTGACCCTCTTTCTTCCCTCTTTGCTTCTCTCTCTCGTGTCCTCTCCCTCCTCCCTCCCTCTCCTGTCTTCTCATCCTCACTCTCCTCCTGTTTCCCACCTCCCTCTCTCCAACCCTTCTCCTGTTCCATCTTTAGTTTCCCACACCTATCTTCTCCTCCACTCCTTCATATTTTGTCAGTCATCCCTTCAGTTCTCGAACAAATCACCAGTACTCTCCTCCACGATGGGTAGTCTTTGGGAGTCTCCCACTCTGGGCGATCCTTTCAACCTTACCCACCCCGACAACCACCTGGACCACGCCAACAACCATGGCATCACTCACGGTGACGGTTTCTACACCGACTTGTTGACCTTTGCCTTTAGGGGCCCAGTCCACTATGACCGGCAACAGCCAATATTCATCGACGCTGAGGACGCTACGCGATTCTTCAACGCGTTGCAGTTCGAGACTCTGGTTCGAGCGCTGATTGCTGGTCTGAAAGCCCACAATGTACAGCCCGGCGATTGTGTTTTGGTCCACCTGGGAAATAGTGTAAGTAGTCATCGAGTCATCATCCTCCCCTGACTGGCCCGCTTATCAAATCCCCCCAAACCACTACTACTTTCCTCGAGATCTCTCTCTCTCTCTCTCTCTCTCTCTCTCTCTCTCTCTCTCTCTCTCTCTCTCTCTCTCTCTCTGCCCCTCCCCCCACCTCACCCACCTTTCCTGTTCTCTGTTCTCTGATCTATACAATTTGATTTGTTACCCGTTTCTCCATCGTGTTATCGTCATTCCCATCATGCCCCTCCATCATCCTCTTCTCACTGACTCATGGTGTGGTAGATCATATACCCCGCGCTGTTCTTCAGCATCATCGGGGCTGGCGGTGTGTTCATGGGTTCCAATGCGCGCAGCCAACCACAAGAGCTGGAGCACATTCTGCAACTGGCAGAGCCAAAACTGATCATCACCTCGTCCGATGCACTGCCTACGGTGCTGAGTGTGTCAGCCGACCGTGGAATGCATCCCAGCCAGGTGTGTCTGGTGGATGAAGCTGCAGGGGATTACATCTCCCAATACTTCCTCGCCGGACCATTGGCTTATGCGACTGCCGGCGCCTCCTATCTACTACCGAGCGGTGGGGGCGGCTCTGTTGTGAATTTCGCCCACCTTCTAGCGTATGGCGAAAGTGATTGGGTGGCCTTTGATGACGAGATGATCGCCAAATCGACGCCGGCCGCCATGTTCTCCACCAGCGGCACCGGAGGCCTGCCTAAGGCAGCATACCTCACCCACCATGCCATGATCTCTCACCACCTCACCATCCAATACGATGTGCCTTATGAGGTAATTCGCCTAATGTCGCTGCCCATGTTCCACATGTTTGGCGCGCTGTGGACCCACATATTTCCCATTCGCTATGGCGAGCCCTTATTTGTCCTGTCGCGTTTCGAAATGAACCTGTTCATTCGGACGGTGTGCGATTTTGGTATCACCGAGACCTACATGGTCCCCGCCATGATTCACAAGTTCAATCGGTCAGCCTCGTCCGCCACTAGCTCTCTGTCCTCTCTCCGTTACGTCGGGGTTGCCGGCGCTCCCATTGATGCCGCTGCCATGCAGCGCTTTCGGGAACTGCTTCACAGTGACGCCCGTGCCTCCCAGTTGTGGGGGATGACGGAAGTGGGGGTGGTGTTCCAGAATCGCTACGGGCCTCAGCAGGCCCCCGCCGGCAGCATTGGCCGATTGTTGGAGGGCTACGAGGTGCGGCTGGTCGGACAGGACCACCAGCTAGTGCTCGAGGACAACCAGCCTGGCGAGCTCTGGGTGCGCGGACCCGGGGTCCTCAGTGGGTACAAGGGCCGATCAGATGCCAAAGACGCCCGAGGGTGGTTCCGCACCGGCGACGTTGCGTACGTGAGCGCCGGGCAGTTCTACATCTACGGGCGCACCAAGGAATTGATTAAAGTGCGAGGGTAAGTGGTGGTCCATTGGAAAGCAAACCCCGAAGCAAGTGCTAACCGTGACGTGCAGATGGCAGGTGGCCCCGGCGGAGGTGGAGGCAGCGCTACTCAAGCACCCGGAAATCGAGGATGCCGCCGTGATTGGGGTTACATCGCGGGACGGCAGCACGGAGTTGCCCCGAGCGTTCGTGGTGCGAGCCAAGAGCCTGACGGGCAGCCGGCTGACTGCGGACGATGTGTACAACTTTGCACGGCACCAATTGGCCAGCTATAAGGCGCTGGATGGGGGCGTGATTTTCGTGGAGGAGATTCCACGGACGGCGAGTGGGAAAATCCAGCGGTTCAAGCTATCTCAGATGAACACCTATCGGGAGATAGTGAGTAACTTGCTGGCACGGTTCAAGGGTGCTAGTATGCAGACGGTCGGGATAATGCATCCAGGGCGCATTACGGTGTAAAGAGGGGGTTGCTTTTGCTTTTTTTTTTTTTTTTTTTTTTTTCTCACTTCTCTTCTTGTTTTTCTGTTTTCTTTTTCTTCTTCCGACTTTTCTTCTTCTTTTTTTTGCGACATTTTTCTTCTTCCGTTGATATTCCGCTCTGGAAATGCCGTACATATTCGGGGGCGTTAGTGATTACGGACTAGGCTTTAGGCGTTAAGAGCAGGGTGGTCGGTGGGGAGTGACAAGGGGGATGGAGCCAGAAAAAGACGACTGGATTCGTCCATACAACTACACATACATACATACATACATCTGGAAGCACATAGCAAAGGCGCACAGATACATGCCATGGAGATAAAGCTAAATTAGTTAGTTAGTATCATAATGATGACCATCATGTCAGAAAGAATCTCCTACCTAATCCGGCGACAAACCAGCCCCCCCTCCTCTTTTTCTTTTTTTTTTTTTTTTTTTATTTCTCTTTTTCTGTTGCGCACCGTTAGTCCCAAGGGACACACACCTACAGTAGACTACAGCGGACCACAGCGGACTACAGTGAACTACGGTGTGCTACTGTACCTCCTTAACCATGACTAGTTTAGGTTCTGCGCAAGTTTCGCCCTGCACGCCCGATACCTATCCGGGTAACCCCGGAAGAGCGGTTAAATTGGGGGTGTGAGTGGGTGAATGAGTGGATTAGATCATCTGTTAGTCTGTTAGGGTGATTTCCCTTGCAGTACGTACTCCATTGCGGTGCAGTAACCTTCTACTTACTAACTAACTTACTACTAGTGGATTAGCAGTTATCTACCCTACATTGTGAACTTAAGTAGGTATAGTATAGTAATGAAGTTGATTGAGGTGGTGTATCTTCGCTTAGCTGTTATTTTGTTAGTAGTGAGCTACTATAACTAAAGTGTTTGTCCTGTCTAATCCTGTGGGGATTGGGATTGGGATGGTAGGGTAGTACAGTGGCTGTTGTTTGGCACATGTTTGTGGACGTTAAAGCGCGTGGGTGTGTGTGTGTGTGGGTGATACATTACACCAAAACGCGCTGGTTGGGTTTGATTCAGCTTGATTGAAACTGGAACAGAATCCCTTCTTTCTATTCCATTGGACTTTTTACTCTTTAACATCCTGTAGAGAAAAGTAGCAAAATTGGATTGTAAAGCCCCCCTCCCTCTGCCCAAATCTGAATCAAACACTCAACCATCCTGTCAAGTGACATAATAAACAGGGTAAAAGAATTACTAGGATGTTGTTTGCTGTCAGAACTAAATTTAGCCTTCGTTCACAAGAGGGGTAAGATGGATTTCTCAGTGGCTATTGTCTTTTTTGTCTCCCGTAAGCGTGCTTGACTGGGATTATGCTCCTTCATGATCCTTGCAAGGAGGAGGAGAAGAAGAACAAGAAGAAGAAAAGAAAAAGTGTATAGTGTAGAGGAGGGGGTCTGATCCCGGTTGTTGGGTACATATCTTACTATCGACGGTGTAGTTATCTATCTAGATTAAACAGTTAGGTATCTGTGTAGTAGTACTAACTTGATATAGCAGGAGCATCATTTTCTTTTGTTTCTCATGTTTCACAGTGATCGCGATCGTGATAGGGAGTAATCTACTCTCTGAAAGAGGGTAATCTTAGACTAACAATCCCAGGATGACCCTGCTAATAGCCAAACATGGATAACATGGATACATGGATGTGGTCAGAATCGTAATGTGATGAAGATTATCAGTAAGGGTTGATAAAGTTTATACCTCGGTAGGGTACTACTTGTGAAGTATAGTATGTGATGATGTCTGCAGAGTATGTCAAAATGACATGTGGTACTTCTGTTTATTTCTTATTTTTTATTTTTTTTTATTTCTATGATCCAAGAATATGTACATATATACAGTAGTAGTAAGCAATGTCGGTAGATAGATACATATGTGCTACTAGTGACTACTTACATACATTGTACATACACGAGCTGTATCATGTACATATCATATTACTATCACTTATGTATATGTATATGTACATGTACATGTACCTAAATCAAGTAAATAAGTGAGTAAAGCAAACTATCTATTCTAATTGTAGTAGCAATAGAATTTAATAGTCTCTACACTCATTTCTCCATAACATCGTGTTTATGGGGGAACATTCACATGCCTTATTGTTGAACGTGGACAGCTGAAGAATTATTTTGTTTTTCTTCTTTTTCTCTCTCTAAGCGATAAATATAGTTCTCGTAGATAGATTGTTGTTCTCCACTAAGCTTTCTGATCACGGAAAGAAAAAGAGAAAAGAAAAAAGAAATATGGGTTCACTCAGCTTTAGCTTTCCCAGCTTCAATACTATTAGTTCTTTTAAGGTTAGGCTTTTTCTTTTTTTTCCCAGGACATGCACTCTCGGTACCATGGTTGAGGAACTGATCCCTAATGTAAGGTGATGATGGCTTTGTTGTTTACTTTTTCCCAAATCCCCACTGTCTTCCCAATCTTAGTTAATAGAGTACGTATGAATGGAATCTATCTACTTACTGATGAATTGAAGGGATCTGATCCTAGTATCGCATACCAATTCCCGGATATTGTTAAAGTTTGGAGTAGTGTTAACTACTTACTATTTGGGTTGTAGCCTGATCTGGTCGGTCCTTACTTATATTAACATATAATAAATAACTACAATTACTACATCTGTAGACACTACTTTTCTATCTTGTGATTCATATTTTTCCGATTTCTGTTTAATTCTTATTTCTATTAGGTTCTTTCTATATCTTAACTAGCTTCCATTCATAGTCACCGTCATTTTGATCATGTAAACCCGACTAAACTCCGTCTCTTCCTCCGATGGAGAAATAAAGAGAATTATTACACACGTAACTACGTAGCTAACTTACTCCGTAGGTCAGATAGTCAATAATAAATTAGAATGACAGGTGTTAACTAAACAAGTTCTTTACCCAATCGTAATCTCCTTTTCATCTATTCCCGACCAGGGTCTTGTCTCGAAATGACATGACATGACATGACATGACAATGAACATTCATTCAAAATCCCCGCCGCTTTGCGACAGTCTACTAAGTTACCAACTAATCAACTAATTAACTAGCGTGATCCGCTAATCACAAGGTAGTCAGTCTATCTCGTGTCTTTGTTCTACCGATGATACATAACAACATACTAATCCGATCGACAAGACAAAAAAAAAGTACAAGATGGATAGATAGATGGATAGATAGATCTGGAGTAACAACAAAAAAGCAATGGGAAGACATCTTCTCCACACCGATCAAATCAAAAAGAAATATATACATTCATGTTGCTGTACCCGGAAAAGGAAAATTAAAGGGATCCATCCTAAGTAGGATGGATCCCCATGACCCGAAAAACTTGAGGTTAAGTTGAGTCCGGTCCGTACTAGTGTCGCAATAGTTCGAGTTCTGCCCTGCCCACTTTTCTTTCTTTTCTCCTATCTTTCCATTCGTTTTCTGAACCCTGGACTAACTGCTTAGTGGTTCAGCAGCTACCTCACTATTCTCTGGACTAAAGTTAGGTTGGTACGTAGTCTATCGCATGGCTTGGATGGGTTTTTCAGCTCTGCGCCACACACACGGACACTCTGCCCTGTCTTGCCACAGTGGGCTATCACTAATATGGTGGGTTCTTTGCGATAGTGTTTGGTTCTATCTTTTTCTATCTTGGGTTATTGTGGTGATACTTTGCTTATCTTTCTCATCAGGCTGAATTTCGAGTGCTTTCCATCTATCTACTATTATCGGCAATCTCTGTACGATCTACACCTTCCAGCCGGTTTGTATCTCGGAGAAATGGACCATGACGACACCCACCCACGGACCAACTCACTAGTCTCTCGCAAGCCCAGCGCCGCCTCGTGGGCGGAGGACTAACTATCCAACTGTGGCATACAATCGCTTCGATGAGGATGATGATCGATTGGATCGCGGGACAATCCGATTGTCATCCACTTCCTCCTCTTTTTCCTCTTTCTTTTCCCCCCCGCCGGCAGTCCGCTTGCGGAAGGTTACACACCATCGGCTGTCAACCAGTTTGGATCCGTCGCGACTATTGAACCGGATGGACGATGTTGCTTTGTCGGAATCTCCGGCTTTTCTCTCCGTGTCTTTGCCCAACAGGGTTGTTGCTCCTATCGCCATCGTTGGGCTGGGTCACCGCTAGGATCGCGAATCAGATCTTGGATCAACCTATTTTCGCCCATCCATGGGGCGATTGGCTTGACTTTCCCTGGTGATTTTCCGCCAAGGTTGTAGTAATAGTAGTAGTAAACCTTCGAAGACTCAGCTGGTCCTGTTCCCGCCTTGATTGAGATCCAAATTGATCCGGCTGAGGTTCATGTTCAGCACGGGTGGCACCGTAGCAGAGCCTCGCCATGGCGCATCCTCCACACTTGGCCCCAAGCCTGACATCCGTCCGCTGATCGGCATGTCATTGCGGTTGGGGGGAGGGACTGGGTTGGACCCGCGCATCACTGGGTCATGATTTGCCTTTCCCAACAACCCCAAGGTGCACAAGGGAGGGGAAGAGGAAGTGGACACCGGACAGGAACTCTTTGCAGCCTGCACCCTCACCCTCAACTCTTTTCTCAATGAAAACTGCACGAGAGAGAGAGAGGCTGCCCCGGGGACCGCAACGTGCAGGTCATGTGACAGGGCCAGTGAACTAGCTGCATCCACTAGAAGAATTAGACAGACGCCATGTCATGCCAGTCCGGGTTTTCTGGACCACCGCCTGTTTGTAAGCTCCTGCTTCCCTCTCACCGTCGGTAATATTCTCCCGGTCCAGCTTGTTCCCTGGCTTCATCGCCGCCGCCCCCAGCAGCCTGGCTCTTTTGGCGGTCTCTCCGGAAACGACCACCACACATCCAAACGGGTCATCCTGGCAGCTGCTGCCTGGATCCTGGCGGCCCCCAAGGGGTTGCATTATGGAGTAGGCACTAGTCGCAACGGTCTTCCCACTCGACTGCATTGCCACGTCGACCGACATGGTCTAGGAGGGGTAGAAGCACGATTGACATCCATGTTCGCAATGGTGGTGGTCATGCTTTCAAACAAACCCCGAGTCGAGGATCTAACCGAGTATACTTCGTAGTGAAGAAAGGGAAGAGCGTTGTTGGCGTGGTTTCGGGATTCACTGATCCCCGATGTCAAGACCGTTGATTGTCCATGATTTTTATTTATTATTAATTTTTTTTGTCGTAGTTTCTTTGTTCCCCTCTTCATCTAAGGTTCTCCAACTCTATCCACTTGACTCAGGTCATGTCCATGTTCACATGCGACCGGGATTCCAAGATTCGAGTAGAGAAATGCCGTCCAGGATAGCCTATCTTCCATAACCGGAAGTCCGGCGGGTCATTCATGGCCCAGAAGCAGATACTCATCAGCAGCTGTCGTCACCGACTTCTGCACCGTACGTGCGTGATGAAGCAACCGACGTTGTACAACATCAAATGTGATTGAGTTTGCGACCTCCCAGCCTTCGTCAAGTCAGTGGCGGTAAAGATGGCGGTAAATCAGGAAAAAAAAAGTAGAATAGAATGAACAAAAAAAAAGGAACGACATTGTAACTATGTGTCTGCAGTGACGTGATAGTGTCTGCTCCAAGAGAGGGGATATCCTAAAGCCCGCCACTGGCATGGTGCAAGTCCGCCGCCCGACCGGTGCTGCTGGTGCATATCGAGCCATCATAACCGAGGCGCCGGCGCAGGTCGAGTCCCAGACCAAAGCATGTCTGTTGTACTAGGATGCATTTCCTTCGATCCTAACGGACGCGCAAATCGCGCCATCCGGGCGTTGATCGATAATCTCACTCAGCGTTGTTTGCTCTGCTCACGCTTCGATCAGAGTATCCCGTAGCCTTTCCACCATACCCCCCATGCCAATGGCCCCAACGCCCCGATAACGGCTGCCCCAAACGGTATCTCCAAAATGCTCCAGACCCATATTGTCCCGATGGCGGGCGCCCCCCTCATCACCGCGTAGTATGGTTCGTCGTTGGTTATGACCATCAGCTTACAGCCAAGAGCGACCGCCATCGGCAGGAACGCCATGGTACGTAATGCCGGAGGAAAGAGCAGTTTTCGGAAGAATTCTAACGTCAGTTTCTCGCTGTCCCAAGGCAGAAGCGAGACCGTCTCGGTGGACTTCGACCTGCCGGTGCTGCCAATGAAGGAGACGACGTGTCCGTGAGCAAGATGGACCAGCAGGGTCAGCATCGGAAAGGCCACGAATACTGATTCGCGGACGAGGTTGTCTAGTTCGATGGACTCGGCATATTGATGGGCTGCGAGGTACGCGAGGGTCAGGTGGAGGGTGGTCAGGGGGACTGACAGCAGGAGCGTGTCGATGACGGGCGGGATAGGATGGTCGGACTCTTCAGTCTCGTCTTCTTCCTCCTTAGTGGATGCCGTTTCGTCCGTGACTTCTTCAACTCGCCTGATATCCTGCCCGTTTTTGACCGCCGCGAGCTCCGATGCGTTGAGGCCGGAAATGTCTCCGGTCGTGGGGTCGATGGTCACAAACCGGGGACTCGAGTCAGAGGTCCCAGTCGGAGCGTTTGCCTGGCCTAGAAGTTCGCTTTGCCGTTCGGATATAATGTCCATCAAGGTCTTCTCATTGCTCTTCGGGGGATTCGGTGCAGGGCGCGCGAGGGGAATTGAGGAGGGATCGAACGTGTCGCTGTCGACAGTTGTTGCTGCTGCCGCTGCTGCTCGTCGCTGTTTCCGGTTCCTCGGACCTTCCATCGTGCCGGAGTCCTGTGAATGTGAGTAGCTATTTATTGGCGAGAAGAGGGGGCGATGGGTTCGCGACAAAACAAGAAGCAGGGGGTTGTCTCAGGTGAAGCTCAGGTGTCAACTTGAAATGATGTATCACCGCCGGAGTTAAGCGGGGTTAGCCGTCTTGGTGGGCTGCCCGTCTACACTGTACACACAATATCTAGATGCTACAATCCAGCACAATATAAATCAACCTTCAACCACGTTTTCATTAGTAGATAATGAGAGCCCTAGATTAAGAATGAATAGAATTACAACGGTTCAGCAGCATAGTTAAAACGTGAAACGTTTCCTTGTCCCAGTCAGAAGCCAAGTACATCATCGAAATGAAACACCTCTCGAAGAAATCACACGTCAAAAGGCATGCCTTTCCTGCTAAGTTTACCCTCGACAAGCCATATATCCACTCGTCTAACCAGACTGGTAGAGCGCCGGCCCAGCGACCACATGAGGGTTGATCATGGAGATGTTGAACGGGGTCACGTAGAGGTTCGTATCAGTAATGGCAATGAACATGGTGCCATTCACGGCGGGATCACCTGCGTAGGTCTCAACGTTGGGCTGAATTGTCGATCCAGATCTCGAGCCATTGAGCGTCAACTCAGAGTAGGTCACGTTCAGCTGCGTCACCCACGCCACGTACTTCGGGGCTCCAGCGGAAGTCGAGGTCACGTAGCTATTGTTCGGCCCAACGGGCTGTCCTGGAGCATCCCAAGACAGGAAGACTTCCCGGCCAGGGAACGACAGAGGGTTTGTGCGGTTGTGGGTGATTGCAGGGGAGCAGTTAATACCCACGGCATCATTGTTCTGGCAAGCTTGCGAGCTGGGGACCGCCGTGCTGTTCAACACGTTTGTGCCATTGGTGATAGTCTCCTTCCAAGCATCAGCGCCGTTGATACGAACCGGGTTCGGCTGGTTTAGAATAGACAGTGCTGGGAAGTTTTGCCATGCGAGGCGTGTCTGGTTTTCTGGGCAAGAGGCGATGTACGGAGCAAGCAAAGTCCAAGCCCATGATTGAGGAACCCCGACCTCGAACCAGACTGGCATGGGGAAGAGTCCCTCAAACTGCCTGAAGATCATTTGCTGGCGAGCCTCCGTGGTGATGGACAAAGTGAGAAGAGTCGCTGCTTCGCGCGAGTCCAGATGGGACAAGAACCCATACACACCAGCCTCTCCGAAGCGTGTAAGCTTCTGGCAGAAATCCAAGAACTCGTGAACTGTGGTATAAGGGTATACGTAGTTGCACTGTCTGGGTGCCTCTGCGCCCAAGATGTTGGTCAACATGGTCGCATGGCCGACTTCCTGATCCGCCATGAATTCGATCAAGAAACGATCCTCCGCTGTCAACCCCGCAGCAGTGAAGTCGTCAACAGAGAATCGTGCCAGTCCATCATGGAAGAGGTCGAGCTCGATGTACTCTTGGTACAACGCAAGGGCCTGACATTGTGTTAGCAGGAGCAGAAAGTGGTGAAAAGAGTCAAGTGAACACCCACCAAAGACTCGTAGTCAAAGTCACTCTTTGCGTTATAGACAGGGGTAGTCCCATTCGTTCCCACGCCCCCTGCTGGGATATAAGGTCCAGGCTCGGGGCTATGAAGCTGACCATCACTAGGGTAGGTGGTAGCCTCCGGAGGAATGCCCAAGGGAGAAATGCCAGGGCCGATAGGGCCAAGAGTGAGTGCCCCAGTCGTTGTCGGTACCCCAGTGTACGGAGTGTGGGCCTGGGTTGTGGAATATGTCACGACAGGCGGAGGAGCTACAGCCGCAGGGGCAGTAGGAGCTGTAGCAGGGGCAGTGGCAGGGGCAGTTCCAGGAGCAACTCCGGGAGCAGTCGCATTACCAGGTGCGATGCCAGGCGCAACGCCCGTCGCATTCCCGACTTGCCGAGGAATGTTGACGCGGGGATGTGCCAAACTCAAGGGCAAGGAGCCCATTGAGCCAAGCAAAATCAAACGATATAAAGTCATGCTGATCAGCGGTTGTATTTCAAAAAGTTAAACATCCGCAACTTGTTGAAACCTGAGAAGCTCGACAGGCACCCAGCAGGTACATAAATACGTTGATAGCCAGCCCATCGTGCTCGTAATGTCACCTCCCATTTGTGACGCAATCGGACAATCATAGTATTCACGACTGTCTGCAATGGAGAAATTATCTACTCGGTTTGTCGAAACAGGAATTTTGCTGGAGTTCGGATGCGCGTGGATGTAACCTTCTCATCATCCATGACCCTCACGGAAGGCAACGGAAATATGGAACACAATGAAGCTCACACCACAGACCCACCATGACTGGTTTCAAGGAAAGAGAAATGTCAGGTATGTCTGCTTAAGCCCCCCAAGACCTCGAGGAAAACGCTTGGGGAGCAAAAGGTACGGTGGTCATTACACTCAAGCCACACCGCGTGGCTTTCAAGAATGCATACGGGTTGGACAGACTAGTACAACGACCCCTTTAAGGAACGGATGATTGTGCCACAGTAATTGCCCAGGGGGAAAAGTGTAAGTTGTATCACGTAAGGAAGTTTTCTAGCCTATCACCGTCCCAGACGCCGGATTCAGGTTTCGTGCAGTGCCTGAGGATGCTCTACAGATGTGTCAGTCTGAAACCAGCATTCCATCCGGTACAACAATCACTTTACTTCGCAACAAATAAAACAATATGCAGACCCAGTCGTCTTACTCACAATAGGCGAGACATGCGATGATGAGCTTGGGCAATGGATTCGCTACATGGTTGGACGGAAATGATATCCAACGGAATGACAGCCCGGCAAGGTAGCAGTTACTGCACGAGGTATGGATGGCAGGAGATCAGCTGTTTCCGGTCGTGCCCGATATCAGCACCTAGTTACTATGGCAGGTAGCATGTCGCCATTGTTGCTTTTGTGATGGCAGGTGTCACGAATATAGCCAGCGCCAGTCGTGAGCTTGCGCTGAGGGTATGCTGCTCGCGGGGATGTTCTCACTTTGCAAGTGGACCACTTACCTGGGCCCGCTCGAACTTAGGGCATGCAAGATAGCTAATGTAGAAATAATGGCAAAAGCAGGTTTCACGAAATGTAATCAGCGTCATTTGACGCGATCCCCCACGGTGATATGCCTGATTGAGCCAGTTGCATCGCCCTCTATACAAAACCCGGTTTTATGCGGTGAACCTTGGTCCTTCTTATGCATTTACTTCACGATCACATCTGTAAGAAAGGGAATAATACTTTATGGAAGTACTATAACATGTCACAATTTAATGCTGCCCAGTTGTTGTCGGTCGAAGGACTGGTTGTCGTCTTAACCGGTGGTGGCACAGGTAAGCTGTGCCCCTTACTGCCGCAAAGTTCGTGTGACTGACTATTTTTTACCCTCCAGGATTGGGCCGTTCAACAGCCCTTGCCCTGGCCGAAAACGGTGCCGCAAAAGTCTTCATCCTCGGCCGTCGAGAGGATGTGTTGCAAGAGACACGGTCTCTTGGCAAAAAAGATACTATTGTTCCAGTCCAGGTGGATATAACATCGAAAGAGTCTTTGCAGGCAGCCTATGAGACTGTCGCAGCACAGACAGATTATGTCGACGTACTCATCGCCAACAGCGGCTATGGAGGCCTGCCAATGGCACCGCCAAAGCCAAAGCCGGACGGGTCAATTCCCAGTCTTGCTGAGTTCCGAGATCATCTTTGGTCCTCCCCAGAAGAAGATTTCGGAAAGCTCATGGATATCAACGTGAAAGGGACGTTTTTCACGGTTGTTGCATTCTTGTCCCTGCTCAACGCAGCAAATGAGAGACGACCGGCTCCCGTAATGGACGAACTCCCAACACCAAAGGCACAGGTTATCATAGTTGGTTCGGTAGCCGGTCATTTTCGAGCCGTGCCTTATAGCATCGCATATAATATCTCCAAGGGTGCAGTGCATCACCTCATCAAGACACTGTCCAACATTCTCACACCGTACGATATCCGTGTAAATGGTATAGCACCGGGGTTGTTTCCTTCTGAGATGACGAAGATAGCGTTTGGGATCACCAAGTCATCAGCCTCGGATGGTGCCTTTCCCAAGAGTGAACTGCCTCCCGGTCGCGCTGGTCGCCATGAAGAGTTTGCAGGCTTGGTTCTCTGGATGGCTAGTCCCTCTGGGGCATATGCCAATGGCAATATCACAGTCATCGATGGGGTTTGGCTGAGCACGTTGCCAAGTTGTTAGGTACTCGACACTGAAACAGAACACGATGGCACGTATATACAGATACTCTCATTGAGCTAGGAAGTAACGTTCATGCATAACCCAATACAAGATGCTATATGCTCTGAAAGAAAAATGTCAAATACGATGCCTAGACCCGCTGAGCATAATATTAGTTCAATAAACGCGACCTGCAGCCACAATAGTACGCCATGTGCCGTGCAGCGTTTGTGAAACGGAGCTTTTATATGGTTGCTGTAAGTCGTTGCACCAGATAATCGCCCGTGGTTATTCCAGGATACTTTGCAGGACGGGTCTCCTCTTCGAAGGTTCCCGGAATAGCTTCAATAAATTGGTTCATGTTGGGGTTGCAGAAGTATGCAATGCTGTAGCGATCAGGGTAAACAACCGAATCGTTCTCTTCCTCCCCGACTGCTGTCGGCGGCTCGACAACTCGGTGTCGCGTACTTTTGATGATGTCGTTGGACCATCGGGCCAGCAAATCGCCAGCATTAATAACCACGGTGTCGGCGATGGGGGTCACATCCACAAAAGTGCCCTTGGGACTACGAACTTGCAGTCCCCCGCGGCTATCTTGAAAGAGAAGCGTGATAGAGCCATAATCGCTATGTTCACCGGCTCGAACTTGTCCCGGATTTTGCTTGAAGACCTCCTTAGGCACTGAAGGATAATGCAGCAGGCGAAGGTTATTGTCGCCCGCATCCACATAGGCATCAAAGAAGTGCTCTGGCAAGTTCATGCCCAGTGCAATAGCCCGCATGACCTCCGTGTGGAGCGATTTGCACATGTCAAAAAACGACAACATCACCTGCTTAAAGTCTTTCCCTTCATCATCGATGTGGTCGGGCCACCGATTAGGAAAGCCATCCACACCTTCCCGACCGATTTCCATTGTCTCTTTCAGGTCGGGAGTGGTTCGAGAGACCCCCGCCACGTCATCGACCGTGCTTAGCTTCTCTTGCCCAATCTTGACGTATCCACGGTTCGACTGTGGGGTAGTCCAGCACAGACTATCTTTTTGATCCTGCGATCGACCGAAAAAGCGACCTGAAGAGCCAAATACACCGGAGACAACGGAAGGAGGAATGCCGTGGTCTTTGAGGTATAGAAAGCCGGATGATTTGAAAGCGTCTACGATGGACATGGCGACCTCATGCTTATCGGCGGGGGTGCCGTTAAGAAAAGGCCCGAAGTCGATGATCTACGGTAACACCAAGTGAGAACAAAGACAAGACCAGACCAAAAGACACAAGACACAAGACACAAGCAAGCACGTGGAGTGAAAGACCAGGGGAAAAGGCCGTTCACGGAAATACTTACTGGGATAACCAAGTCATCCTTTTCCACAGCAGTAGAAGCTGGGTGACACTGTTGCTGGGGGAGATTACCTTCCATGGCGGAGATGCACGATAACTCCAGGATAGAGAGGATGGCAGCCACAGTACAAACGATCGGAGCAACGAGATGGGGATGTAAAGACTTAATATCTGGAGGATTAAGATGGCAGACAGGGAAACGAGATGGCGCAAAGGGAGGCTCGTGCAGAAGACCGTGAGATCACTTATCTGCCATGAACCAAGGATGACGCTGGGGCAAAGGGGCGAGTGATTGGGTAATGATAGAGAAGCAATCGGCGGTTCAAGCTCCCCAACTATGATAAGACCCGGGCAATCAAATCGCGGGGCAGGGACGGGCAATAACCATGGCAGTGATAGGGAAAAGATTGGAGATATGGGGAATATGCACAGCTCGATTAGCTTATCGGGCCAGCTTGGGAAGATTCATCGAGTCGAGCGCAGCGATTATCAGTCCGATAGAACAGCAATCTCCGTCAAGATCAGACCCTGATCGTGAAAGATAACAAATCAACGAGTTTATCGCAGCTGAAGAGGAGAGAGGGGAAGAAGAAACCCAGGGGAAGTGCAGTTGATCAGTCATCTTCATGCATCTCACATGGTATTTACCCCTCATTAGCTGCAACCCTTCCATACTTAGTTAAAGTAGTACTAACTTGAACACCAACACAAACAAGTAACAAATTCTTCTCTTCCTTCTATTTCTCATTCATCATTGTCTATCATAGTACTAGCGTCAAGATGCCCCCCTTGATCGTCGACATCCACACTCATGTCTACCCTCCTTCTTATATGCATATGCTTCGCGCGCGCAAGACAGTCCCCTATGTCCACGACCCAGCCGACAATGCAACCCCTCGTCTCATTATCCTTTCATCCGATGATGACCCGTCAATCCCCGTCGATCAGCGTGGTCGCCCCGTGGATTCGTCCTACTCAGATATCAACGTGAAGTTGGCCTTCATGCGCCGCCATGGAATCAACTGCAGCGTTATTTCGTTGGCAAATCCTTGGCTGGATTTCCTTGAGCCGGACGAAGCCCAGACATGGGCAGAGCGCATCAATGACGACCTGGAGACAACTTGTGCGCGGGTAAATAACGATGCAGACCCCGACAAAACAAAGGCACTCCATGAGAAGGAAACGCTATTTGCTTTCGGGACACTTCCGCTCAGCGCCCCGAGTCCTGATATTGTTGTAAACGAAATCAAAAGGCTCAAGACATTGCCCCATCTCCGGGGAGTGATCATGGGAACAACAGGTCTAGGCAAGGGGTTAGACGATAGTAGACTGGATCCGGTCTGGGAGGCCTTACAAGATACGGAGTCCATGTTGTTCCTACACCCCCACTATGGGCTACCGGATGAAGCCTTTGGCGGACCCGAAGTAACGAATCGCTATGGTCATGTCCTTCCCCTAGCTCTAGGGTTTCCTCTTGAGACAACCATTGCGGTGACGAGGATGCTTTTGGCGGGAGTCTTTGATCGCTTCCCGCGATTGAAGATCCTCCTGGCTCATTCCGGAGGTACCCTTCCTTTCCTTGCTGGTCGGATCGAGAGCTGTATCCTTCATGAACGTAAATTCATCGCCAACGGAGGTGATGTTCCCGGTCCGCAACGCAGTGTGTGGGATGTTATAAGCACCAATATCTATCTGGACGCGGTGGTGTATGGCACTGCTGGGTTGAAAGCAGCTGTGGCTGCAGCAGGAGGAAGTGATCGTCTTCTCTTCGGTACGTTTGTCCCGGGATGCTTCTCTGCGATAACATTAGTAACATCAGTATAGGAACTGATCATCCGTTCTTCCCTCCTTTGGGCAAGGATGACGAAGAATGGCCGAGTGTGACGACCAATTACAAAGCGATCCATTCTGCATTCGAATCAGAAGGAGACACTGCTGCAGGGGTCTTGGGGGGCAACGCGGCTCGCATACTGGAATTGAAATAGACATGAACTATATAATAATAGCAATGCTGCATGGCATGACTCCATCTGCTTTGTGCTTGTACTTGCAGTTAAACGTGTCAGTGATATTGCACATCCGTGGCATATTCAGGATGCAAGTACTTCCGTTGAGATCAGTAAGTCATACATGTCAGATGGACGCAAATCCCGGCCTCATCCCCCCGGGCTGGCCAAGGCCAGACTGCGGCCAGAACCACCGCGTCTACATCTTCGGGGAATTTCTCGCAGCTAGCATCTCCCAGCCTATGAGCCTCCAAATCTCTTGAACAAACCAGTCGGGCACTGATTGCTCGGGAATTCCGGAGCAGGTCTGAAGTCGTTCAAGGTCCCGTTCATCTGGCCCCATGGGGTATTGTAGAGCCTCTGGCCAGAGCGAGTCGGTGCCAAAGACCGAGTGAAGCAGGGTAGCCTGTAGCTTTCCCTTGAGCTTTGCAGCCAACTGCTCGTTTGTACACCCATGACTGGGATCTGATGACATGGATGGAGCATCTTCGAGTAAGACTAACATCTTTTCCAATGGCCATATAAGGCTCTTAGCCTCCATGGCCGCTGCGGGTAATGTGTTTTCAGCCATGTTAATTCCCTCCAGACCCCCTGGCAAAGGAAACTTGGCATCATTCATCTGCAAATCAGGTCGCAAACGCAAATCGTGGAAGACAAACAAGGAAACTAGCTTCCCCACACGACTCAAAAGGACGAATAGGAACCCTTCAAGAATACTCTGTTTAGCTACACAGTCAATGTTGAGCGATAGTGCCATTCTACTCAGCAACAAGCTCATGTGAGTGGCTATTTCATCTCCTTCATCTGCTTGGTTCTGATCATCAACAGAGTAGCCTGTTCTGAATCGCTTGGTTTTTGCCTTTTGCCTTGGTTGAGTTTGTTTTGCGCTTGGTTTAGACTCACGAAGTTGCTGTTCCGCTTTTCTCCTGCAATGCCGACCCAAAGCTTCTATAATAACCTCATATAAGCGAACGATAGAGTACGTAATCTGCCCAGCATCTCGCATATGTTGTCCAGATGCAGATAGTTTCTTGAAAGTCTGGATTAGGATAAGAAAAGCATTCTCGGTGCTGTTCAAAACAGCTAGTATATCCGGCCTCTTGGGCTCTGGTATCGCTTTAGTCGTGGATCGGGATACAATTGGTTGTTCAATCGCATCAAGAACAGTCTTTGTTGCAGCAGCGCAAAGCTCCATTGCGGCGCTAACAACGTTTGAATTATTGGGCCGTTTCTGCAGAACTTTCTGTAATGCGTAGAGTTGCCTCATGAAAGGTGCAGTGACTATAGAGCAATTTCGGTCAGTATAATCTCATTCATTAAAGGTGTATGGGAACAGACATGGTTCACAAAAGTCTAAATGATCGACCACACCGCCATCTAATCCTGTGGAAAGACTATTGCCAAACACCGAGGTATCCATTCGAGAGAAGGTCTGGGTCTTTGCTCTCTTCCGTGTCATAACACCACTACCGGGAGCAGCACCCTTCGCAGTAGTCTTGCGTTTCAATGCCGATTGACCGTTTTCTGCACCAGCATCATCTGCACCCTGGAGCCGTGCCCGAAGCGACTCATTGTGTTGCTCTAATTCGTATATTCGATCCAGCAAATTGCATTGTTCTGCTTCGGACCGCTCGTATGCTTGTTGCCAGAATGAGACGCTGTCGAAGAATTTGTCATGCGTGTAAGACCTGTCAGATGAGTGGGTGCTTTTGATGTGATGACGAATCTGCAATAAATGCTCTAAACTTTCAATTAATCTGCATGTCTGTCAAGAAGTACTAAGATGGGAATATTGCCTTTGAAATCCACATCCGGTGGCTTGAGCTTGACGATGGCCATTGCAAGAGCTAGCTGAGCTGGTGAAGGCATTGTAACTCCATTCATTTTTTTTTATTATTTTTACCTTTCCAGAAGCTCGACAAAAGATGGAAGACGAGATGGCCTCACAATGCATCAAAGCATCGAGTCGAGTTCATTACTCTCTTGCCTCATTTGGAAGGCACGTGCGCGGTATCAAAACCAAGGAAAACATTTAAGATGCGCTAAAACAATTCTTAGAATAGACTGAGAATACTAGTAGTCATGACATCTCTGATTGCCTCAGGTGGTGGACACCAGGAATTGAACATTCGCTTCGAGACTCCGCCTGCTATTAGTCAATATATATAGTTAGTAGCTTGAAGTTCTACGGAGCACTACAAGGAAATTGGTACTATGATGTACGATAGGAAGCGCAGTTTACTACTAGTAACAGTAGTAACGAATCGAATATTGTCACAATTTCAAAAGGGCACTACGAATCACAATTAAAATGAACGTAATATCGGATATTTCGTGTCAGGCAGAGAAGAGCTCTTAGTACTACTACTGGACAAAGTGAAGCCGAGCCAGACCCGCCACCGCCAGCCAGAAGCCCTCCGCCAAGCCCGACATGAAGCTTCATCGGTTTCTGCTACCACTTTCTCTCCTCATTCATCTCTCCACCACAAGACCTTGAACAGGCGTTCCCCGCCAACTAAAACACCACGTCAACTCCGCATAACAAAACCCGAAGAAGTAAACCCCGTCTGAACCTAAACACCAACACCGCGACGGCCAAACGCGCACCACCATGGCCTCAAAAGACGACCTCAAGGCCCACGCGGCCTCCAACGAGGACTTCTACGCCCTCCTCGATATCTCCCCGGCAGCTGCAGAATCAGAAATTCGTCGCGCCTACCGTCGAACCGCTTTGAAGTACCACCCCGATAAGATCGCGAACCCCACACCTGCGGACATCGACAAGTTCCATACGCTCCAGATCGCCTACGATGTTCTTTCCGATCCGTCGGTGCGGCAGCTCTACGATAATGCGCGGGAGGCGCGCCAGCGCAAGCAGCGCGAGCGGGATATGATGGATGCTGCGAAGAGGAAGATGAGGGAGGACTTGGAGGCTAGGGAGCGCGCGGGGGCTGCGGCGATGGGTGGCGCTGGTGCGCAACGCGGTGTAAAGCGACCGTGGATGGGGGGCGGCGCTGATGACGATGCTGAAGTGAAGCTGCAGAGGGAGATTGAGCGGATTGCGGAGGATGGACGACGGCGGCGACGTGAGGCGGAGGAAAAACTGAAGCAGGAAATGGAGGAGGAGGAAAAGCTGATGCGCCAGGAAGAAGAGGAGGCGCAACGGGCGGCGGACAGGAGTAGTCAGAAGGTTGATCGCTCGAAAGAGGGTGGCACGAATGTTCCGGAACTGGAACGAGGTGTCAAGGTGCGTTGGGTACGTGAAGGACGCGGGCTGGACTTGGATAAAGATCGGTTGATCTCTCTATTCTCATCTTACGGCGAGATCGAGAACATCCTGCTCCTCAAGGACAAACGGCAACGTATCGGAGACAGCCGCGAGAAGAAGACCGTTGCGACAGGTGTGGTGATATTCACTTCCATTGTCAGCGCCCACTTTGCTGTTTTGAACAGTGAGAAGAAAGTGCGTCAGAGTGCTGGGCAAGCGGATAGTGAGTGGTCTGCCATAGAATCTGTCTTCTGGGCATCTGGCAGCCAACCCGACCTGAGCGTTGCAGCCAACAGCTATTCTACTGCTTCCACACCCCTGGAACAGGGCATCGCAGCACCCAACTTTTCAGAACCAGTTCCTTCCGCTGCCCCTCCCAAACCATCTTTCAACTTTGCTGGCTTGAAGTCAGCAGCGTCAGATGCTGCTGGTAAGAAACCCGGAAAAGCACCATCTTTCGGTTCCTTTGCTGCTGGTGCGGCGTCAAAGTCGGCGCATCCTGCGCCGGCTGGCTCGGCCAACGGCTCGAGCGCGCCGAGTATGGCGGAGTTGACGCTGATGCGGTTGAGAAATGCGCAGCGGGAGAAGGAGCGCAAGGCCCTTGAAGAACAGCTTCGGAAAGAAGATGAAGCTGCAGATGCAGCTGAGGCTGGAGCCAAGGTATAGATGCGATATATTTTCAATGACCCGTGGCCATGGTGCGCATTTACAAAGGCGTTATTTGGTCGGATGAACTCGAACAGCAGCTTTAAGTGCTGCGCTATGTATTCTTAGACACTTCACTCAAGCATAGAGATACCCTCACGTTTTGTATTATCAATTACTTTGCATTATCACCGAATGAGACATGAAGACGTTGTATTTACCGGTATCATTTTGACAATATATTACACGTTTAATCTATGATACATTGTTGACGCAGTTGATCATTTCATCGTGACTCCTCCTCTTCCTCCAACTGTTCCAACAGTTCCCTGGCTCGCTGTCCCTCCAACTCTAGGTTACGGCCCTGGTTTTTCTTCACTCCACCGTTGTAGATGTGCTCTCTCGTCCAAGCCGGCACAAGTGCCTTCAACTTCACCTCGCCAGACTCAGACGATCCATCTTCAGCCCCAGTCCATGAGATCTTGAACTCCTGATCAGGACTATATTGAGTCCCCTCACCAGTCAAAGCAACATCCGTCATCATCTCCAACCGACATAAAGCAAGTCCGATGTTTCCAACACCGCCCAAGAACTTGCCCGCGCTACGGCCCTTGCGCGCGCTGACCTTGGAAATATTCGACCCGGATGGCGGCAACTCCACATCCACAGAGGGGTCATACACCGGCATATCGGCCGACCCCATGTCGCCTAGATCCCCATTATACAACTGAACCGGCAGTATACGCTTCCTCACAACACCGGTATGATGCGTCCGGATCGTAAGTTCCTGACCGACATAGCATCCCTTGCGGAAATCAATACCCCGCGACATATCCATGTTAGACTCCAACGGAAGCGCGGACTCGCGGATTATCTCCGACTGCCCTTCCGCAATGCCATGTAACATCCGTCGCACGGTATAAGAGCCCAGACCCACCTCCGCTCCATAACCCTCGCCCTCCCCCTCCGCCAGATGCGTCGTCAAGTCTCCCTCACCCGGCGTGATGAGCCTGGACCCAAATCCTGGTGCGCGGGTATCTACACATCCAGTAACCGTCGCAGAAGACGAGGCAAAGGGCGAAAGTGACTGAGAATCCAGGTTATATGCTGCCCACCGGGGTTCACTATGATCTCTCCAGGAGGCCCACACGGTCCGTTCTCCCTCATCTAGTGCACGTAGCTTCAGTTTCGCGCGAAGCTTGTGTTTCTTGAGATGTTTCAGGAGAGTCGTGACTTCGTTCTTGTCCACTTCCACCAGCCATGCATGTTCGTCCGGTGAAGCGCCCTCTGCCTGGGGTAGTGGGTAGAGGAAAGCGTCGTTGAGCACTCGGCCTTGGGAATTCAGGAAAGCAGTGTAGGAGCCAGTTCGACGGGTTGCACGGTTCGGGTCGTTCGTGATGAGCATGTTCTGGGTGATTAAGCCTTGGAGATATGAGGTGCTATCTATGCCCGTTATGGAGATTAATCCGCGGTTTGTGAGACGTGCATATCCGGTCGCTGGCGGGGAGGGTGGGTTCGGAGTGGTGGATCGTGGGGCGCAACGCTGGATGGTCGTGGAGAAGTATCGATTGCGGCCGAGACATTGCGCACATATTGGGCGTGTAGATGGGCTGGAGCGCATCATGTTCGTGGGCTGATACTGGAATCGGTTCTGCGTAGCGTTTACAAATCAGAGGCCCATGAATGACATCGTCGGTAAGGCGGTGGAAAAAGGCAAAATATAGAACATGACATAATCTGTCTTAAAAGCTAGCCCGAAAGGGAGAATCTATGTAGCTGGGTGGAGGGTTCTCTGTAGCATGGACAATATCAAATGTAATTCAAGATCATGAAGCAATAAACCGCTAACTTCATTAGAGACGCATATGTATAGCTAATGGGCCCTATCAAGCAAAAATGACCGAGTTACTTGTGTCCTTTAGCAACTCCTTCCAGAAACCCAAGCAAGAAAGCCTTATTGACAGGCGAAGAGACCTTATTGGCATTAGATACCTGACTATCCTCCATTTCATGAGGCGTCTGTCCAACGTTAGGAATAGCGGGCAAGTTGACCGGCGACAGTGGACTAACAACAGAAGAAGGCTGCGACGGTTTCGGAACAGAAGCGCCCAGTTCCGCAGGGGAAATGTTTGGGGAGACAGAGGTTTTGCCAAAGAGTGATAGGAGCATCTCCTTCTGCGCGACAGTTTGACTCGGTCTGCGGTCGAAGCTGGGTTGAGGTTGCGAATGCCGAGGGGAATCCATGGAGCGTGCGGCGGCCTGTTGATCTTGACTCTCATCGAGTGCAGTCCGAATCGGGAGAAGATCCATCACATTTGGATTATCAGAGCGACGTAGAATCTGCGGCTGGAAAGGTTTAGGTGGCTCCGGAGAACTGGGTTTCGGACCCCTGGGCTGGGAGGGAGGACGGGAGGTTTGCGGAGAAGCGCGTGCAGGAGGCTGTTCCTTGGCGGCTTGCGGTCTTGCCAAGATTGTTATAGGGGCCGTAACAGCTGATGCCTGCTCATTTCTGAGTCCTTTGCGATTCGGCCCATTCTGTGCTTTTCTTGATGGCTTCTGAGCTCCGGGTTGTAAAGTATGCATGGTCGGTCCAGAGGCTGGCGAAGAAGTCCATGGATTAGCCGCGGGCGAACTGCGCCGCGCAGGGCTATGGTCCCCCCGGGGTCGTTGAAGGACTTGTTTTCTGGCCGGGGACACTGATTGACCCGATAATTCGGCCGGCCCAGAGACTGCAGGAGCAGGAGACCCTCTCAGCAGATTAAGGAGATGATCCTGATGTTGTGATGGTCTTCGTTCACTGGCTTGCGCCGGTCCAGTATGGGACACCAAGTTCGCCTTGGGCGTCTTGGGTGTTTTGGTCGAGTCATCCTTGAAAACATTCAACAGAGCCAGGGAATGGCTCGTAAGTTTGGGCGGAGGCAAGTTTCTCGCCGGTGGCACGGTCGCACCTTGAGCTTGGGAAGGATGACCTGATTGAGAGAATTGAGGATCACCGGTTCGATGGTAGGGGGCAGGGGCGGCTTGACTCTGCGGAGCGGGAGCGAGTTCTGCCAGCGAACCTGTGTCCTTGTGGAAGTGTGATGCAAGCGACTGCTGAGGGGGGAAAGTTCCGTGAAAACTACCCGATGGCCCTGGAGGAGCAGCAGAGAGCGGTCTTTGATTCAACTGGCCATGAGGCATTGTGTTGGCAATGGATGCTGGTAGATGTGGTACAGGACCGTGATTGGGCTGTGGGTATGACGGCAAGCTGGGGGGTACGCCGACATGAGGGCCTTGCTGGGGAAAGCCCGGGAAGAAGCCCATCGCGGGATAAGGACGACTCACAGGAGGCACACTCCCTGGGAGAGGGGCCGGCATCGATTGCTGCTCTGGAATATGGGCTTGTGGAAGGGATTCACGAGACGAGCCGGTCCGCAGCAGCTCTAAAAGAGCATTAGATTTAGAGGCACTCGGCCCTGAGACTGGTGCATGGATGACCGGCGATGTATTTCCAGAAGAAACCAGATTGTTAATGTTGAGAAGGCGCTTAAGGTGAGCAGAGGCGTCCTGAGTCGACGCAAGTTCTGGCAAGTCACTGGGAGTAGCCATTTCCGCAGCCACCTGGTTCGGTGTGAAGCTGTGCACGGCATGGGAAGCTTCGTCGATCGACATGTCGTTCTGCATAGGCAGCTTCGAACCACCTGGAGTCTTTCCTTCAAGCCTCTTTTGTTGGGCAATCCACTTCTTGAGTGGATGCATAAACGGAGCTACCATATAGAACTTGTTCGCATTGGCGACGGCGAAGCCTTGATCTTGCTGCTTGCTCTTCTTCAGTGTCGGCAACTCCGACAGCTTGTACCACTCAATCTTGCTAATCTCCTTGCGGGTACGCGGCTCAAAATGAGCATCCTGTGGCACGCCACGGAAAACGTACAGCCTCATGTGCTGCTCTCTCATGGTGATTTCGATGAACTTGACATCTTTCTCATCTTGGACCAATCCGGCTTCCCGAACGTCAAAACCAGTTTCCTCGTAGACTTCTCGAATGGCGCAGTCGATGTCTTTCTCATCTTTATTAATTTTGCCTCGTGGAAAACTCCAGTTGGCGCCTTTCTTCCAACCCTTGACCAAGACCACCTCATCCATGTCATCGTTAAGCATGATGGCACCGCGCACCGGAACCCGGGTTTTGTAGGCCAGGAATTCGGAGAATGCGGTGATATGATGATAATGCGACCATTGGGACATCAATGGGCAATGCTGAAAGATGCGCAAAGCGAAGGCTTTCAGGGACAAGGACGGGAGAGCCGGATCCAACGGCCGAATGAAGTCTTCGTAGAACCATTGTGCTTCTTCAACCTGAAAACAGATGCGTTCAACAGATTCGAGCTCTTCTCGGGGTAAGTTAATGATAAAGCGAACACATAAATCATCCAGCCCTGCCCGGAGCCATCCAAGTTAGCACAGCCGAGGTCACCGTAGCCACACGGGCGGGGGAGACAAGCGTCAAGGCGAGACTCACAGTCTTCCAACTGCATCTTTGTTTCTGTCATACTGGACAACGTGCTCTAGCATTTCAGCAGAGGTAAGGACAGGCAAGGAGCTCTCCGAGCGTCAAGCGGAGAGAGCACGAGGCGGAGCGAACGGGGACTGAGGGGACAGCACAGCGCGCTGCTGCAGCTTCAAGGAAGGGTGCTTGGCAAGCGCCAACCCTGAAGCGTACTTTGTGCGAGAAGGCTAAGGAGGCAGGGATTCGAGGGTAAAACCAATGGGTTATCTACCTCCAACCAAGAGGAGAAGCGCTGATAGGTGGGTAGAGAGTGAGGGAAAAGTGGCTCTTGTGGTCGACACCCGACGGCCTAACAATAATGGAGGACGGCTAAGAGTGAGTGAGCTGCGAATGAGTTGGGTTGGGGAAGTCACTCATTAGTTAGTTAGTTACTAGTACCAACTAGTCTAGTCCGCTTAGGGGAACCAGCTGACTGCGCCACAGTCAATTACATGTGGCGCAGTCACACACAGGTATCAAGAATGTGGCTAGTGAGATGTTAGGGGGGTTACGTAATGTCTGCTGGTGGTCGCGCCGGATCATGCAATGACGTCGATGCGCGGCTCGTGTTCCAGATATTCAGGTCATTGTCGACGTTGTCGTCGTTGACTGGCTGTCGCACAATGTATCCCATGGTTTTAAAAAGCCGCCCGAAACCCCTTGGTCCAAAAATAAGGCGCTTACATCGGAGATCCTTTATCGAATCTTCACAGACATACATACGTCTTGCTCCTGAGAGCTTGGCGGTTATATACTCAGCCAAGCATCCCCTCCTGAAGAGGGTGCCTGATCGATCCGGCACATTCCAACGTCCCCTTTCTTGTTTTTTTTCTCTTTTTAACATAGACCTTTCCTCCCCTTATTCTAAGTCCCTTCCATCATCCGATTCTGCCACCTCCTAAGCTATGTCGGCGCAACTTGCAAATCTAGTGGGCAAGAAGATTCTCGCAGAATCCGCCCGGAATCATTTTGGACAAGAAGTAAAACCCATTCCATTTTCTGAACCATCCTACTGTGGCAAACTATGGGCTAAGACAGTGTGTTGCTGTAGGACCCCTATTTCGAAGAGGTTCCCGCGTCACGCTTGAATCGCGCCTTCGGGAAGAAAACACAAAAGCGACGCAAAGCAATCCCTCCCGGCCTGTCGCAGAACGACAGCAAGGTTCTGACGCAAGTTAAAAGAAGGGCGTATCGCTTGGACTTATGTCTCTTTAGCCTGTGTGGAATCCGATTCGGATGGGGAAGTGTTATAGGTCTATTCCCATTGTAAGTTGGAATCTTTGCACATGGTGTTCAATCCGAGACTCATCAAGGAATCAAACAGTATTGGAGATGGAGCAGATGCTGCATTGGCTTTGATGGTGGTGCACACCTGTGACAAAATCGATGGGGGCCTCCCATCGCGGCTGCGAATGATGATGCTCATGAATATCGTGATCGATTTCTTTATCGGCTTGGTTCCTTTCATTGGTGACGTTGCTGATGCCGTGTACAAATGCAACACGCGGAATGCCGTGCTTCTGGAAAAACATTTGCGGGAAAAAGGGGCCAAGGCGCTTGCCAAACAAGAGAGGAGGCAGGATACAGCGGATATGAGCTTGCCGGACGAGTTCGACCGCTATGATGACGATACTTCGGGTGAGCCATCTCGTCACAAAGGCCAGCCACACAGTAGGAACACTGATGGACCAGCGAAGCCTCAAGCAGCACGGGTTCCCAAGAAAAGCCGTTCACAAGGCAGATGGTTCGGAGGAAGAGCTCAACCGGAGGATGACCTTGAGACTGGAGTGATCGATAACTCCCGGCCCTCTCGGCGGCATTGATGATGTCACAGATAGATGCATTCGGGACAGTCAAAATGATAATGCCTACCCACAAACGCGGTATAGATGAATATGTGATTGAACCTTGATTTAACAGGTCAATTCGGGCTGGGACCGAGCACAAGCGTAGCAAAATTGAAGCTGTTCGTTGCCTTGTTCGCCCGTAATGTTTTCGTTTGTAGTCATGAAGGCCCCGCAGAAGTCGCACTGCAGTCCGCCGATAGATGTACCAGACGACTGGAGCTTACTGGCAGTCCTGGTCACGTTCAACATGACGCCGGGGTATTTCGCACCCTGAGTGCTGACATAACGGATCATCAGCTCATCGATCGACAAGTTCTTCGTGAGCGTATTCTCCGAGGGAGGCTCATCATGAACGATGATGCCAGCAAGCTCGGGAAAGAGGGTGGCATAGGTGCGTATCTCTGCAGTGAACACGTCCCGAAGCGGGAAGTTGAATTCTAGACCGAACGGCGACATTCCATCGCACACCTGCCACGTCACTGCAGAGCCGCGTCCCTTCGCAACGTTGGCGAGCGTCTTGGCGGCAAGCTTGCTGTCCGAGTCACCCCATACTATGCCACGGCATTCCATTTTCTTTGCGAAAGCAACGACGAGTTTGTTTAACAGGATTTGGTCGACATCGGACTTGGAAGTGGCTGATGAGATCGACCTGCGGAAGCGGGTTAAACGCTCCTCATCGGATAGAGAAGTGTCATCTGTGAAGTTCTCCCCAGCATACTGCGACATGATCTGATGGACATCCGGGTCAAGCTCGAAGATACTGTAGAAGGGGAGCCGGGTGAAGGAACAGAGTGGGAAGCTTTGCTGCGCGAGTGCAAAGCCTTCTTCGTGCGGAGAAACAGGGGAGATCGTTGAAGGCTCAACGACGAGGACGTGGATTTCAAAGCCCGCGGGGCCGTGTTTCTTTGAGCGTAGTACCTCCAGCTGCTGGTGCAGCATGTGCAATAGCACGGTGGAGGAGACGCCGTACGAAAGGGGGAGCAGCAATTTGCAGGGACCGGTCTGTGGCATATTCCTCCGGAGACGATAACGTTCCATGCGCCTGAAGGGCTTGAAGTTCAAGAATCGAATATAACATTCTCTGGATGGAGGGGTAACTGAGATCAGTATGGACTAGAAGCGGCGACAGGTATACTATAGGGGAGACGAGACGTACTGGCACACGAAACGCTCGCGCAATGTAAAGGCCGGTTCGGCCTCATGGCAGTTCATGCAGCGACCAGGTAGCTCTTTTCCGGGCATTTTGGTGGGTGTCAGGGGCGGAGTGCAAGACTGGGTTCATACAATAAAATTGTCGATAGCAATTAGTTTTCACGCGGGATGCCGGGTGGGGAGCGATTTTCGCCAGGCAGAATTTCTCGGCGGCGGGCTAGAGCCACTGGCAGCACGGGCTTAGATAATACCCATGGGCGGGACCCCGTCAACAACACGCGGCTTCCCCGGTTTCAGCAGTTTGAAGCCACGCTTCGTGAGATCGTCGCAAACATCATTCATTCTCCCAACACATCCGAGTTCTGCCGACTTCCCCTGAGAAGGCCACCTCCTCCGTTGAATTTGCCCTCAAATTGTACCTGGAGCTTCTTATGATCCAGGGCTGCAACTAAACCCTGCTCTCGGCGACTCCGGAGCTCCGTCCTACTGCCAGGCACCCTACCGCATAGCTCCTTTTTCATTGTCACAATGAGAGGCTGGCTTCGGACCCTTGGCTTGACTGCCTTACTGGCAGGAAGTGTGCTGGCGAATGAAGTTGAACTAGTGCGCATTGTCTTTCATCATAATCTGAGGCTCGATGCTGACATCCGTTTCCCGCGCAGACACAAGATGAAGCCCATCGACAGCGTTGTTCGGGAATGTATAGTCGCAAAGCTTGGGGTGGAAGTGTCGATCCCTTCATCTTGACCAAATTCGTCCAAGAACCCCAGTCTGGTGATAGCGATCCCCTCGTCAGTCTCGTCATATTCGAATGGTCCGATGAGAATCTCATCGGCCGGCCTGTTCCGGGTGACTCTGGGGTACGACCACCCTTCCCTGACCATGATTATCTTTGGATAGTCTAACTCATATATGCGGCTTTAGGAAAGGGAAACGATCTGTGATGAGGCCAGTGTGCAGGCGAACCTCTGCTCGGAAGACCAAGTCGGTTCTTTCATTCTTGCTTCGAATGTCACCGAGGCCTCCAAATTTCCTGTCGTCACCAAAGCAGTCCACCTAAATGATCCTGCGGCCATCAATTATCCTATCAAAAAGACTGGATTCTATTGCGTCAGCACATACGGGTACTCCGGCGTGGACTACAAGGCCGTGGTCGAGTTTAGAAACTCGTACGGTGAACTTCCAGCTGCGCAGATCGCAAAGCTCCCGTTTTATGGTGGCTTGACTATCGTCTACGCAGTTGTTGGTCTGTAAGTATTTTCTAACGTTGCTGTGTTCAGTCAGGGTGGGGCTTATACTCAATAGGTTCTGGGCGTTCCTTTACGTGCAAAACCGTCACGATATTTGTAAGTACAGGCTTTTGGGTGTCCAGTGACTATCCGCTAATCGTCTATAGTGCCTGTTCAAAATTACATCACCGCGATCCTTGTTTTCCTCATTGTCGAGCAGTTGATGACTTGGGGCTTCTACGGTATGTCTAACGCTTATGCCGCCGATGACCTTTGCTAACGCTCATTCAGACTATCAAAACCGCAACGGCTTGAACACCGGCGCAAAGGCACTGATGGTTATAGTCGCTGTACTGAATGCGGGACGCAACGCTTTCTCGTTCTTCCTCCTGCTGATAGTGTGCATGGGCTATGGTGTTGTCAAACCGTCGCTTGGTCGGACGATGATCTACGTTCGTATCCTTGCCATCACGCACTTCATCTTCGCTGTGATATATGCTGTCGCCAGTCTATCGATTACCCCGGACAGCGCCGGCCCGCTCGTCTTGCTCATCGTGCTTCCTCTTGCTGGTACACTCACGGCATTCTACGTGTGGACGTTGAACTCCTTGAATGCGACTATGAAGGACCTTATCGACAGAAAGCAGAAGACGAAAGCCATGATGTACAAGAAGCTTTGGTGGTGCATTCTCGGTAGTATCGTCGTTATCTTCGGTTTCTTCTTTATCAACTCTATTGCCTTTGCAGGACGCAGCGAGGCCAGCTTCGTACCCGAGCACTGGAAGTCTAGATGGTTTGTGCTGGATGGCTGGCTGAACCTGGTGTACTTCTTCGATATCGGATTTGTCGCCTATCTGTGGCGTCCCACTGCTAACAACAGACGGTTCGCTATGAGTGACGAGGTAAGCCTTGTTTGGAGCAGTTGTGCGAGCCTGAAAGATAAACTAACAACATGCTAGATTGCGCAAGATGACGACGGGTTCGAGATTCGTTCCTTCGGTAGTGCATTGGATGAAGAGGACGCTTTTGGTGGACCCGAAGAACCGTCCGGTTCGGAGCATCGTCGGGACCTGTCACCTGTGCCTCCCAAGCCTGTCCCTGCAGCCCCGCGTCAACGGGAGTCTCTGGACGGTGAGACTATCTTCGCAGTCGGCGAGGACGGAGACAAATGGTCTGACGACGAAGATGAATCGCCGCGCAACTCCGGGGAACGAGAGCGGCTTACTGGCAAGCACAAGGACTAAATGCGGCTTCCGAAGCCACATGTGCCCCGTCGTGGGCATTGACATCCTAAAATAGCAGGGCCAAAAAGTCATTCTCGCAATTGCTATTTGTCTACTGTCTTGACTGTCTTGACTGTCGGAGACATGCGGCTACGTTGCCATATTTCGGGGAAAATTGGAAGTGTTGGTATTCTTCATGTGTTAGTTGGCTTTGCAGGCATATGATGGCGTTCGGCCTATGGTGTATTCCCCGTTGTTCAGTGTTTCGTGTGTTTTCTGCTTCGAATGTAATGGAGGAGCGATATCTTTTCCTTTATTTTGTATAGATTCTCTACCATATGTAACTCCAGTTATGCAGCAATGTTTTCATGTCACTGATCATGATGCATGACGTCAGTAACTCTATCTCAGCAATCACACAAGCCCTTAGTATCCCATGCCTATCCATTATCACTTGCACTGATCCTACAGTGAGGAACAATTTCCAGCTACATTCGAACGTTCTAAATCATACGTTCATTGCATTTCAATCCTATTCATAATCTTATGACTGATCGAGCCCACTATGGAAACAGCCAGCTATGCCGGTGCTTCACCGTTTGAAGCAATTAAAATGGCCCTGAACACCTCGAATTCTTCAACCCTCAGTAACTACATGAAGCCATAAACAACGCGTACTACGACGTCGGAAGGTCGTCGCCATAGCTAAATGAGAGCAAAGCAAGGCAAAATACAGCGAAGTTATGCGAGAAACTGAAAGTGTAAACCAGTGGCGCAGCCAGCCAAGCTAGCTGCCTGCCATCTCCTCTTCGTTCTTCGTCCATGTTATTGCTTCCACCATTGCGCATTCTTCTGGTGTGAGGTGACTCAGTCCAGGGCGTGTGTGGATCCAATCCATCTACCCAGCGTCTTCAGCGTGTATTCCCATGGCCCTGACGCCTACATGTTCCTGGTTCGGGCCGGGCAATCCGATTCAGGGTCCAGTTCGACCTGGCTGAGCTTAAGTCATACTACCGTTAGTTAACGTTAACTAGTGGTGACTTCCCGCACAACCCTCCCCATAGAAAACAACTTCTCCATCCGCACGCGAGGGCCACCATGGTGACCAGCCCGGCGCCGAGGATTGTCTCCATTAAGGCCTGCTTACCCAGTGCAGTGCCCATGACTCACGAAAAATTCCGTCGGTTTCCATGATTCCATCTCTCCTAACACAACAACAACAACACTACCTCCACCATTCTTTTTTCCGCCCTTAACGAACGCAACCCACCCGCAATTCAACCCCCCCCTTCCCCAAGCTAGCTCAAGCAAAGACAGAACACGCACGCACGCACGCGAGCGCCCACACACCCACCATGGCGCATCCCGAAAACCAAGTCGACGACGACGTCGCCTCTTCTAGCGAGATCGAGATCTC